CTGAGCTAAATCCCCGGCCCTACTATAATATTTTTTTTTTAATTCAAACATTTACTGTATTTGTTGATCATCTCTTGTATATACAGCTTTGAAGGGGTCCAAGAAAGGCTAACCTAGAGAAAAGATGAGATCTATTTCATAGCTAGCACAAAACAGTTTGTAATTTTTCAGTGGAAACTTTGGGTTAAGGATTGAAAATAACCAAGTATAAGATATTTTCTAAAATGCCGTGAGGGCTTTAGGAAAATAACTTAGAAAAATCAAAACACGTTCGATTTTTAAAACTTCTACCTACTCAGGTTAAACACTTGCTAGTGGCATCTTTTTTGTCACTAGGGTCCATCCACTGGTAATCTCCTGTTAAGGTGGTAACATTTTTCTAAATTAATGAAGGTCCCCTTTTCTTTTTTTCTTTTTGTGTAAAACAGGTAAAACCTTGTTAGCCAAAGCAGTAGCAAACCAAACCTCAGCCACCTTTTTGAGAGTGGTTGGCTCTGAACTTATTCAAAAGTACCTGGGCGATGGGCCCAAACTTGTACGGGAATTATTTCGAGTTGCTGAAGAACATGCACCATCCATCGTGTTTATTGATGAAATCGATGCCATTGGGACCAAAAGGTAGAACTTCTTTTGCATTATTCTGAGGCTAGCTCTTGTTGGGCTCTGCCTATGTGGCAAGCTCTTGCCATGGCCCTGCTGTCAGGGGCCAGGTAACAACTACCCAGAACTGGGAATGTCTGGAAGTTGGGGAGTCGTAAGTAACCACACCTCGAGCACTTACCTGAGCCAGGACCATCCAGACTGGTTCTGCTCAAGGAGTTCACATTCAGAGTGGGGTATCAGATACCACAGAGTCAGAATAAATTACAGTGTCAACCCCAGAAACTGCTGCCAAGAATTGTGATCTGTAGCTTGGCTTATGGGGGCATCTTAGTCCACTTGTACCACTCTTTAAAAATGCCACAGATGGGCTAATTTATAAAGATAGAAGTTTATTTCCTCACAGTTCTAGAAACTGAAAAAGAAGTCCAGTATCAAGATGCTGGTGGTGTGGTGTCTGTGAGGCCTGCTTTCTGCTTCCAGAGGAGGCAAACGCTGGGTCCTTATATGGCAGAAGGACAGAAGAGCAGAAAGGGCCTACGCTAGCTCCCACCAACCCTTTTATAAGCTTTCCAACAGGCATCACCTCTAATTACAACCACAATGAGAATTAAGTTTCAACACAGGTTTTGGGGGACATATTCAGACCTTGGTGGGGTCTGATTTTGTTGCTAGAATGTGAGGCAGTACCATTTGGGTTGTGAAGAGAATGTTAAGATGGTCTATCACAGTGAAATCTTTTCTGACATTCCCCTTTAGCAGATCAGGTGGGTTTTCATGTCTTCTCTTCTTTTCCAAAGATATGATTCAAATTCTGGAGGTGAGAGAGAAATTCAGCGAACAATGTTGGAACTGTTGAACCAGTTGGATGGATTTGATTCACGGGGAGATGTGAAAGTTATCATGGCCACAAACCGAATAGAAACTCTGGATCCAGCACTGATCAGACCAGGTTAAACTTGCTTTAGGTTCAAATAGGGAATTAATGTGTTCTTGTATCTTTGTATTTTAAGTCTGCTTTGGGTGTGTTATAAAGTGGCTAACACTGTAGTGAAACTTGGAATTCTAATTTACCAAAAATAGCCCCCCTTGAGATAACAGTCAAGAACATGCTGGAGCCTGTCCAGCTTGACCCTTTAATTGCAGTCTTCTACCTTGATTCTCCCCCTCAAACAGTAAATTTCCTCTTCTTAGCCTCAAGAACTTGCTTCTTTTTCTTGAAGGAATAATTCATATGGTAGCTTGGATTTATCCTTTGCATTCAGGTAGCACTAGAAAAAGCAGTAATGCTTGCTACCTCTTGTAATGTTTTGAAAAAAATAGATCTGTCCCCTTTGTCACTAAACGTGCCATTCAAGAACCATTCCTTTCATTTATTTCTCATGGCAGAGGATTTCTTTTAAATGGGGTGAATTCAGATGTAGACATTTGCTGAGTACAGAAAGGATGTTCACTTTTAAAGAGCTGGATGATGTCATTCCCACAGGATGCCATGTGATTGAAATTGCTTGTCCTCAAATGAAATGGGGTGAGGCCTCTGAGGCAGAGCAGGGCCTGGGGCTGGATGGGGTGTGATGGAAAGCTTTGTACCTGCAGGGCGCATCGACAGGAAGATTGAGTTCCCCCTGCCTGATGAAAAGACTAAGAAGCGCATCTTTCAGATTCACACAAGCAGGATGACACTGGCCGATGATGTGACCCTGGACGACCTGATCATGGCAAAGGATGATCTCTCTGGTGCTGACATCAAGGTGAGAACCTAGGCAGCCGGCTCATCCCTGGAAATGTGGCCATCACTCAGGAAAGGCTGTGTGCTCTCATGGGGTTGGGCTAGGATACGTGGATGTCTGGGGTTTAACGTCATGATTGTCATGTTGGCTTGCCATTGCGCCTACATGGTAGATTTCCTTTAATGCATTGTTTTATGAAATAAATGGCCCCCCAAAGCTCTGTAACCACAAGGGTGAGTCAGTGGTACTAAGCTTACCACCTTCTATGCACAGCCTTGCTCAGGTGTGTGGGCCACTCAGTCCCAGCCAGAGCAAGAGTCAGCTGGGGGAATGCATCTAGACCTGCAGAGGGGGCCCACCACCCAGTGCATTCATGTTCCCACTCTGTGTTCTGACGGGTTAGGCCCTTGGTTTCACGTCAAATGTACATGAGTTAGAATATTCATTCTCAGCTGCCCAGGTGTACCAAGGCCTAGCGGCATTGAATGTGGACACAACCTGCTTTCCTGGGTCTTTGTTGGCCAACGTGCCTGGATAGGAATGGCACATACAATGCTTTTCCGGGCCAGCACCTGCAATGAGTCTCTAGATCACTGGCATCGGTCCTAGAGAAGTAGCTTAGTTGATGAATAAAATATACCTTCCTTTTTTGAAATGAAATTACTTTGTAATTGTACACCAGCTTTGTACATTTTTTTTGAGACAATGTTGCTGAGTTGCTGGAGCTGAGCCCACAGTTCTGTTTTCTCTTGCCTTGAGCCTCGCAGGGTGCTGCACCCTGCCTGGCTACTGTGGCCCTTTCTATACATGGATAATTTTTGGCCAGACCATTTGAAGGAAATAACCTGGTGGCCATAACCAAGTAGAAATTTTAGTGCTGTGATTTTGTTTTTATCACGTGTTGAAGGGTGCTTGTTCTCTTTTCCTATTGGCAAGTAACTGGTCTGATAATGAGAAAATAAATACTGGAATAACACCACAGTTTACAGTATCTAAGCAGAATAAACGTTCTGATGGTAAGTAAATGGACACACACTCTCAATTACGTCTACGTTGCAGGGCCTAATTTCCTGACCTGCCAAGCCACACCGTTTGTTAGAACCTGAGCCAAAAGCTGGAGTCCACAGCCTTGACTCCTGGCCAATCCCATGTCTAAATTGTCACTATTTCCAGTTTAAGCCATCTCAGATTCTTTCAGAAAGTAACAGGGATGCTTAAAACATTTGAAAAATATTCTTTTCCCAAATGAGCAATTGTTTACTCTTATACCTTATTTCAGAATAGCTCTCTCAATTGCTTAAGATAAAAATATTTCACTTTGTGAACATACTGTTTGTTCTTTCAGGCAATCTGTACAGAAGCTGGGCTGATGGCTTTGAGAGAACGCAGAATGAAAGTAACAAATGAAGACTTCAAGAAATCTAAAGAAAATGTTCTTTATAAGAAACAGGAAGGTACCCCTGAGGGGCTGTATCTCTAGTGAACCACAGCTGCCTTCAGACAAGTGGTTGGGACTTTTCTCAACCCCTCAGAGGGCTGGGGATTTAGCTCAGTGGTTTTGGCGCCTGCTGCGCAAGCGCAAGGTTCAGAGTTCAATCCCCGGTACCAAAAACAAAAACAAAAAACACTGAACTTCAGCCCCTGAGGAGGAGGTTTGGGAAGGTGCCCTGAGGGAGACCGTGTTCCAGTTGATTTTTATTGGCAAAACATGGCATGTCTTCTCCAGTGTGACATGTAGGGTGCCTACTGGATGGCCTTGGCTGTGGTCACTGTGCTGCTTGCTCTCTGCTTCCCAATAAAAGTGTGGTCTGCACACCCACCTCAGCAGCAATCACAAGGAGCCCATACTTCAGTATCCATTCACCCCAGCTTTATACTCCTGAAGCTGGTGGTACCGCAGTAATGGTAATAGCCACACAGCACTCTTTTCAAAGAGAAGGAAACAGCTTTCCTCTGTGGTCCATGCAGGTTCTTGGCGCGCTCTGAGGGATATAATAAGTACTGGCATTCCGAGAGACTTAAGGCAGTGATGGCGAACTTGCTAGAGCTTTCAGTGGTAACAGCCTGCTGTGGCACACATCCCTTAGGTTCACCACCCTTGGAGTAAAGGTTCCTAAAAGAAACCTCAGGGCCGAAGCACCTGATACCAGCCTCTGGTCTTCCCTTCTTGGGCTCGGGAACCTCATCATTTTCAAGTTGTTCAAAAAAATAGACCTTCCCCTTCCCTCTCCTTTCTAAATGAATTGGTCCTAGTGGCTTTAGGTTAAGGTAAGCATCCACTTGGCAAGGTGGCCTGGGTAAAGAGACACTAGTTTTCTGTACTACAAGGAGTCACAGACTTAGCTCGAAACAATACAGATTTTCACCTGGGCATGGTGGTATTTGTAGGCGCAGAACTCAGGAGGCTTAGGCAGGAAGATTGTTAAGTTCAAGGCCAGTCTGGACTACAAAGTTCCAGGTCAGCCTGCAGTGTCTCAAAAACAATACAGATTTATCTTAGTTCTAGTAGGTCAACAAGTCCAGCACTGGTCTTAGGAAAAATCATGGTGTTGGTAAGACTACGTTCCTTTCCTATCTCCTCACCATGGGAGCTTATTGGAAGGGCTGTTTCTTGGAGTTGTAGGACTGAGGTATTTCCTTGCTGGCTTTCCCAGTTTGTAAAGTTCTCTATCCTCAGAGCAACAGCAGGTCAAGTCCCTATAAAGCTCAGAATCTCTCCTGGCATTTCTTCTATTTTCACATCTCTGGCTCGTCTACCTTCCTTTTCTACTTGGACCCTTGTGATTACACTGGGCTCACCCAGGTAGTCCAGGATAACCTTTTAAAGACAATTTAATAACAGTCACAGGTTCCAGCACTTAGGTGTGGATGTCTTTGAGTGAACCATTTTGCCTAACAGAGGACATCCAAACATGAGCAGCCTAGTGCAGGAAGAGGACAGTGGGGAAGCAGGAGCGTCTGCCCCAGCAGGGTGTCCACATGAAGGGACAGTGCAGTAGGGGGACTTGGCATGGGCAGGGTGAGGATGCCATCCAGCTAGGGTGCTGAAACTCAAGCAGAGGGAGAAGGGTGTGTGTACAGGGGTGAATGACCCCATAAGGGGAGCTGGTGTGGGCAGGGGGAGAAGCATGCTTGAAAGGGCAGCCTGATGAGTACTGGAACCCATACAGGTAAGGAGGGCATCGAGGTGGGAACAGCAGCAGAGGGAAGCTGGTAACATACATGTGGTTACCCAGTGAGGATGGCGGGAGCAGGCTTCTCACTGAGAAAGGAGTTACAGATAAAAGAAGGTAAAGAAAAAAAAGTTTGTCCATGGAGAGCACCTGAGAACTGCGATATGCCAATAACAAGGGGCATGCCTACACACACATCTTTGCTCCTAAATACCACGGTCCACTACAGGAGCTGAGGCTGATCCAGAGCTCAGCTGGGAAGGTACAAGATGAACCTGAAGTACATTTTGGCAGAAAGAAGGGAGTGCTCAGGGTATGACTGGGACATGTCCAAAGGAGAAGGCCCATCTGGAGGTGCTTCCATGGGCCAGATCTGACAATGTGAGCATCAAAATAATGAACATGAATGGAATATAGTCCTTTAAACAAAACAGGAATTAAACTCATTCATATGCACTAAGTTTCACAAATGGGATAGTTTCAAAGTTATCCCCCTATAAAATGCTTTTCTACTAGACCCAGCTTCACAATGGAGTACCCTAGTAGACACCATCTTAACCAGTGACCAAAATGAACACTCAGTAGTGGGTATCTTGAAAGTACAAGCCACACAAGAGGTGTCATCACTGACACTGCCTGAATCCAATTGTCAGGAAACATCAGGTAAACAAATTCAGGATACTTCAGACATGTCCAAATAACAGTTTCCAGACTGAAGGAGACCAGAGAGACATGAAAACCAAATGCAACTCATAATCCTGAACTGGATCCATTCCCTTCAGGAGACAACTGGCAAAGCTTGGGGCCTGAGGGACAGACAGGAGTACTGTACCCATGCCAATTTCCTGTTTGATTTCTGCACTGTGGCATGCAGGAAACAGCAACTTACTCCTAAATGGTTCAGGGGAAAAGTCATTTGTAATGTAAAGTTGGCTCTCAGTACCCATGAGTTCAACCAACCATGGGTCAAAAAATATTTTGGAAAAAAATTGCAGCTGCACTGAGTATGTAAACTTTTTGGGGGGTCATTATTTCCACAAATATAATAACTACACAGCATTTATAGGACTCTTATAAGCAGTGTATAGTGGTTTATAGTATATGGGAAGATGTGCATAGATTATATTCAAATTTATGCCATTCTATATAAGGGACTTGAGCATCCTTGGATTCTGGTATGTTCGAGGGGGTTCTGCGATGGGACTCAAAACTTGTCTACAAATTTCAGATGAAGAAACCCACACAGCATACCCATACTTCCTCTTCCTCGGTAATCTTCAGGTCCTTTCCTCTATCCACAGGGAAAGTCTCCCTTGGGTCAACTGTACAAAAGCAGCCAAAGCAAATGCCAGCACCTAGGATGGGGGGTTGGGGGGGAGTTAGGGAAAAGCCTGAAATGCACTCCACCTCCACCCATTCCAGCTGCCGCTCCACTTTACTTGTTGACCAAAATAATGCTGAAGTTACCATGCCTGCAGATGGTCACCGAGGCCCAGAGTGCCCAGCGTTGCAGACACAGGACAGGTACGTGGGTAACAAGGGTTCCCAGAGCAGTCTCTACCCTTGATGCTTCTGCTTGGTGAGCAGGGCAGGGACAAACCTCTGCCTGAGGAAAAGCCAGTGGTTCTGAGGCCCTTCCTCAGCAGGACTCTTAGTGGAAACTCTAACACTCTATCATTTGGCCTTTTCCAGAGACTACCATACCATTTTTTAATGAAAGAAGGAATATGTGTGTGTGATAAGCAGCAGGAAGGAAAGAGGCCTCCTCTTAGCTGGACAAAATACAGAGCGCACCTTCCAGCTTCTGCTTCCCAAGACCCAGTAAGCCACAGTGTTGGCCCTGCTTTGTGCAAGAACATTGTCCCAGAGGCCTGGGGCCTGGCTGACCCCTGGGGTCTGATGTGCTCAGCCATTCCCTCAGGAAACAGCCACCACTCCTGCTAAGTGCACGGTCCAATTGACCTGGATGAGCTCCAACCCTTTCTCTGCCCGCCAGGCTTACTGTTGTTCTCAGAAGGAGACTGACCATCTTTCCAACTCAAGGCCAACGATCTTTTAAACAGGCTTTTTAAAAAAATATTTTTACAGTACCGAGGACTGAACCCAGAGCCTTCACACTAGGCCACACTCCACACACATACCCTTTTTGTTTACTTTCTGAGACAAGGTCTTGCTAAGTCATTAAGTTGCCCGGGCTGAGCTTGAACTTGCAGTCCTCTTGACTTAGCCTCCCAGACAGCAGGCGTGATAAGCATGCACCACCCTGCCTGGCTCAAACAGGCTTTTAAAAATCCTAACAATAAATACCTCACCATCCTTTTTTCTATAAAACATCTACCCCACAGAGACTACCTGATTTTTTTAAACCTCTTTTCATGCAGCAAGCAAGGTGAGTGGTCAATCTGAGATGCTGCTTTATCAGGTCTCCGGGGTTCCCTGCCCACACTACAGGTTCCCATCAGGGCTTTGAGACACGGAGGCAGTGAGGGATCAGGGCACTAGTTATGGAGAATGTGGCTTGGTCCTGGGCTCTGGCTCCACAACCCCAGTCAGGTCTGCAAGGTGCCTGGCTTGCTGCCCAGCCACACAGAGGGCAAGGGTGAGGGTGGCAAATGTCCTCCTGGGAGCAGCCCAGAGAGGCCAGTTCTCTTTAATCATCTCCTTACCGCCAGAGTCCCAGTGGTCCTGCCCATCTCAGGGCCCAGCTCTCAGGTCCTGAGTTCTCACTCTGAGAGGCAGCAGAGGAGTGGCCTGTAGTGTGGCGAGAGACAGGGCAGGCTGGCCAGCGTCCTTCATGTCTGGAGGGATTGCCCCAGAAAATACTGTGGCTCTGTTCCTTCCCGTCTTTTCCCCACCTATGTCCATCTGTTTCTTCTCAAAATTACATTCTACGGCATTGGCTTTTCTGGAGGAGGTGGCAAAGGAACCCAAGTCTTTGGTGGTTCTGGAGAAAAATATTAAAAATAAAAAAGCCACCAAGCAGCTACTCACTTGGCAGCAGTGCTCAGGGAACACAGGCAAGCTGTTCTTCCCACCCTGCCTTGTTGACCATGGAAATGACTGCACTACAGATCTCTTCAGCAGCAGACAGGTGTCTCATCTATCCACAGCCTCAGACGCAAAACCAGGACACAGCACCTTCTTGTCTTCAGCAGGCTGCTGAAGAAGAGACAAAGGAGCACCTGGGCACCTGCAGGACGTCGGGCTGGGCTGGGGGAAGGCAGTGGCTGCAGGTGTCGCCCTCTCTGGGCTGGGGTCACCAGCAGGCTTCCTGCAGAGAGGTGCTCACACCCTCGGTCACATGTTCCACACTCCGCTGACCCATAAGCACCTGGGCTCAGGAGAGGGCAGATTCTGACCCGCCAGGGCAGGGCTGGGCCCGGGAGTCTGCAGTGCTCACCAGCTCCAGGGGACACTGCTGGCCCACAGGCAGGAATCTCCTGGGTAACTCGCCACACACCTGACCCAAGGCAGAAGAGCGAGTGCTAAAGAACCCTCCACTGTGTGGAGTGAAGAGTGGAGAGGAGGTACTAATCTTCAGTGGCCAGACCTTGACGTCCAAACTCAGGGGCTCACAGGACCCCCCAAGGATGCCCAGAGAAGCTCTGTGCACCAAGCCAGGGCTAGGGCTGGCCAGGCAGAGGAACGAGAAGTTGCACACACCTCAGTCACAAAAGGTGTCGTGATCATCAGGAGCGAGTCTTCATCTCTGTACAGTCACACATATAATATGCAAAACAACAGCTTTTGTGTGGTGTGCACACCCAAAACCTGTGCAGGAGGAAAACGATCAGGAAGAGCCACACGTCTAGTGCCCTAGTCCTCCAGCAGGAGCTCCAGCTCCTCCAGCGGCAGGCGCACACGGAGCTCCTTCTCGGCCATCAGATCCAGGGTCTCCTGCAGCTCATTGGGAAAGTACTCCACGGCGTCCAGGTACAGCACCTAGCAGCACAGAAAGAACACCCTCACGGTGAGTGTGAGGAAGTCCAAGAAAAAGGAGCAGGTTCCCAGCAAGCCTGCCCTCTCTGCTGCCCTCCACAGCCCACACACAGCCCCTTTGCTCCGGGCGCTCCTAGCTCAGGCAGCTCAGGTGTCTAAGAAAGAACCCAGACTCACAAAACAGAGGGAAAGCCAATAAACAGCAAGTGGACCTTCTCTTTACCCAGAGCCAGAAGTGCTGCCGGACACTGCAACCGCCACTAGTTTGACTTCTGAATGTCTCCTGGATCCCAACTCTTTCAGCACATGAGCTTACTGAGGCAAATGTCGGGAAACTAGCTACTCACCACCCACTCCCATGAGCACCAGCTCCAGGACAGGAAAAGGGTCCATAGGCCCCAACTCCTTAGGAAAAGGCCCTGGCTGTGCCTTGGGACAGGGTACTACATCCCCAGAGCTGATGTCCCCAGTGACACTGGCTGAGCTGATGCCTGGTGGGAAGGTCCTTGGGAATCTGAAGATATCTGGGTCTTTAAAACTTACCTTTGCCCAAGGACAGTTCTGAAGTGCTTTGTAAAACACACCTTTGCTTCTCTCTTTGTTTCCTAAGGAAACCTGAAGTAAGGGGGGAAAAGTACAAAAACAATCAGTTGAAGCAGAGGGACCAAGGCTGTAAAAACACCCTTCCTGGTCTGTGCATGGCCTTTGGAGTTGTGAGCCAGGCGGTGCCTTGCCCTGGCACCATGGCATTTGATGGGAATGGTGCCCAGACAGGTGAGAATGCTCAGGGGCACCGAGCTTCCAGGCATTTCCCTCTACAAATGGCCGTAGGGTGCTGGTGTTTATCACTTCTGACTCTTGCAAGTCCTGCATCTTATTTTGGAAGTCCCTTTACAGGGAGCCACCTTGGTGTTACCAACAGTGCCTAGAATGCGACTGTCAGTGACATGAGGCTGATGACCTTGTACAAAAGAGAACATATTTGCTTTCATATTTGCCATTTGATGAAAACTATCTTCTAGAGGAAAGAAAGCAAGATCCTGGTTAGCTCATTTCTCTAAAATTTACTAGGTTTTATTGCACTGAAAGTAAATTTTTCCAGGGCCAGGGATGTAGCTCGGTGGTGCCTGTGCCTGCCTGGCACGCACAAGGTCCTGAGTTCAATCCCTGCTACCAAAAAAAAAAAAGTAAACTTTTCCATCAGAAATTCGAGCCAGGGCTGGGGATTTAGCTCAGTGGTTCCACTGCCTGCCTCGAAAGCGCAAGGTCCCGAGTTCAATCCCCGGTACCAAAAAAAAAGAAAAAAGAAAAATAAATTCAAGCCCAAGAGGGTACAAGTTTTCAGCAGGCTTTCACCCTAGACCTGAAACCCTTAGTCTCAACCCAGCCTCGCCTCCTCTTTCCCAGCCCAGTGTGAAAGGGACATACACAGCCCGGGAGCCTGGTCCTGACCAGGGGCCTCTCTCCAGCCTCTGCAGGGAGTCACAGTGCAACACTAGGGCACGAGCAGAGCTTGTGGACTGTAGCCTGTCCATGCTTCACCACCCGCCCTCCTCCTTCAGCCTTCCCCTTCCTCGGGAGTGTTCCTCCCAGCCAGGCAGCTGCATCACAGAGACTCCAATTTGCTGTCAGGAACTCATCTCCCAAGGACAGCCTCACTACCTGTTCGATTTTGCAAGGTTCCCTCCCAGTCACAGGGACCGGAGCGGGGCTGTACACAGGCTCCATGAGAACACTTTCCTGGGCCCAGCTTGTTGCTCACCTGGCCCGGGACACTGCTGTGCGTCCTCCCCATGTGCCTCCAATTATGAGGCTGGTGGGCCCCTGAGTTTATAGCTGCGTGCAGTGGGCTGGTCTCAAACAGTAACTGCTCCCTGTGGCACTTCCTGATCAGTCAGCCGCAGGGACACACCTTCTGTGCTGAGGATGCGAGGGCACCATCCAGGGGACAGCTTGGTGGTGACTGTGTGTCTCCCATCCATGATCCCTACCCTAAGGCGTGGCTCGCGTAACACACCTTCACCTCTGACAACAGATGGCAGTGCCTCAAGTGAGAAACAGTTTGTGGGTGCCACCTGGCCCTCCTTCACAGGTGTCTGATGAGTGACTTTTTGATGTCAGAAGCCCCAAAACTCCACCCTCACATCGTGCTACCCCACCTTTTCTGCATATGTGTCCCATGAAGAGCCAGGTGGTTTGATTACACATGCACAGACCACTGCTTCCGCAGGCCTCAGACCACCCTGCTTCTTCATCCCATAAGTGACCCTAATCCTATCCTCAGGAGGGTGGAGTTGAGATGTGGGCCTCCCATCTCCAGCCTCATTCTCTTTTGTAAAATGTGTTGTCCTGGTGACTGTCTGGATACTGCATGGCAGGCAGCACGGCCTGGCTTGGTCACACTATTACTGCCTCCAAGTGAGCCTCCCATTCCAACCATGACTGTCTCCTGGAAGGGTGGGAAGGGAGGTCTCACAGAGGTTTCTCTGCCTTCGCACGTAGCCCCAGGACCTGAGATTCACACGTGCCACGAGAGGCACATGGCAAACAGCCGGCGCCATGAGTCACGCCGGTGCCGTGCTGGGCACTAACAAGTCTCCCCTCTATGGGCCTCACTGGGTGCCAGTGGTGGTGTGGCCTGGCCGGGCCAGCCTCAGCAATACACACAAGTGCTCACATCCCCCACTTCAAGTCGCTCGCTGGTGCTCTGTAATCACTTGTATGGGCGTTTCTGAGCCTTCCTGTTTGATGTGTGCCCCTCCAGATGAGGGAAGCAATATCTCTAAGAAGAGGAGAAGCAGAAGTCTTCACGCTTTTGCAAAATTTGATTCTCTTTTCTTATTATAACCACATCTGAGCAACTGCTGGTTCATGCAATTTTTAAAAGCAATTAGACAAAACTGACATCCAGCCTCCTTAAATAAAAAAATACCTCCCTAAGGGCCGGGGATTTAGCTCAGTGGTTCCGGCATCTGCCTCACAAGCGCAAGGACCAGAGTTCAGTCCCCGGTACCAAAAAAAAAGATATCTCCCCATAATACCTTTTCATCTTTCTAAGGGAAGACTGACAGTCATGAGAGGTTTTGTTTTATTTTTTGTGGTACTGGGGACTGAACAAAGGCCTTCGCACGGAGCTACATCCCTAGTCCCTTTTAGTTTTTATTTTGCGACAGGGTGTCACTAAGTCACTAACTCGCTCAGGCCAGAATTTGCAATCCTCCTTCCTCAGCTTCCCAGAGTGCTGGGACTACAGGCATGTGCCACCCTTTTAAGAAGTTTCTTCACTCAGCCCAGGAAGGCAGCTGAAGATTCTTTTCCCTCCCATCAGCCCTTGTACATGGTGGCCCTTCAACATGGCTAATCTCTGCCAGCTGACCACAGGATGGGACAAGAAACTACACTGGAGGGTAAAAGAAAACCTGATAATTAGCCATGCAAAAATGCTGCTGCTTCCTTTTTATGTATTAAGAGTTCTTTCACCAGTCCCCCAAATCAGCTAACTTATCTACTTACATTTCCTTCTCTCTTCTGTAGGTACATGACTCAAGAATCTTGAAAGCTAGTGCAACTTAGCCAAAACAACAAAAAGCCTACCTGAAAGCCGGGAGGCTAAAGGCATGATGATTACAAGTTCAAGGCTAGCCTAGGCTACTTAGCAAGACAGTATCTCCCAAAAAAGCGCAAACAAACAAAAAACCAAAAACTGAAAGTGTTAACACATGTATTCGAAGGTCCTCACCTAAAAACCAAGGTTTTAATCTGCTACATTCCAACTTTAACGGAAAACTTTAATTGCTGTTTGCCCAATTCCTTTTTCTCCCTGTATTTACCATAGCCAACAGTTTAAGCTTTTAATTCCCTCAATCATCTCTGCAGAAACAAAAGCAAACACTAAAGCAAGCCTGCCTGCACACGTCTGCGTATCTGTCCCCAGGAAGGCACAGATGTACAGACGCAGAGGCAGAAAGGACTTTCCCCGCCGACAAGGCCCCAGTGCCCTCTTCTCTCCTGGTACTTGCTGCCTACAGCTTGCCCTTGGACCCTAATCTGAACTTCCTCTGTGCTTCATTAACAACGTGCTGGGAGCCCACCAGATACCTCGGGGCCTGCTAGACAAACTCAAGGCACTAATTAATACTTAGTTTCAACACCTTTTCAAAAAGACAGAAAACCCTTAAGTCCTAGATTTTTTTTTTTTTCCAAGTCGACAGCACTTTTTATCTAGAAGTCATCCAAACCTGGCTATGGTATAGCCTTGGTAAAAATACTCTAAATCTGCACCTTACCCTATCTCTACCTATTAAAAACTGGGGAAGTTAAACTGGCAAATTTGCAAGCTTTCCCTTTTTAAATCTAAAGCCCTTTCATTTGTATCAAAACATTGACAGAGTATTAGTGCTGGAAAAATCAGGGAGGGGATGTGACTGAAGCCCGTCCTCTGCTGCGCCGCACCACCTTCTGTGATTGACAGGCCCGGAGCCCCTCACAAGTACACGAGTCCCTTTGGCACCCCTTTCACACGAGAAGCCAAACCATAAAACCGGAGATCTGGGGCTAAGAAATGAATGTGAAAGGAATGCACAAACTTTTATGGTAATTCACTCTTGATGCTAACTTTCTGAATGTGCTCATTTTTCCTGGATGTGCCATGACATCTGCCCTGGGCTGTATCCTCCCAATCCCCTTCCAAGGCAGGGAGGCACACCCAGATGAATTCTGGAATCTAAGCCAGGAGTCAGAGAGGCCCAGATCTCTCCTGATTTCATTTACTCTTTGAATTTCCTTTCCTTAGCTTTATATGTCAAATACAAATGTTCAAAGCCTATCATGTTTTGATAATTTACCTTATGGGAATAATTAGACACATTCAGTAAGATTTACAAGAAAGGTGACATCTGCCTGGCTTGTGAAAGGTACAGCCTTCACTGGAGGTCACGTTGATATGACTGAATAGCCTTGAACTAAAACAAGGAAGACGCCTAGAGGACCACAGTTTCCAAAAAAGTATACAAGTTGGAAGTAGACATACAGTATTACTGTATTACAGTAGTGCCATCCTTTCCACTGCCAGGCCTTTAACCCAAGGCCAAGCCAATTCATAGCCGTGAAGTCAAAAAACCACATTTCAGCCCACACACTTAACACTCACAGAACTATACACGGGGCGTCACCATACTCAATTGCCATGGTGCTTTTCAATGAACATAAAGCTGCTTTGGAAATATCTACTTCAAAAACCACATCATAGGCTGAATCTTATCTTTTAATAACAAAATAGAATCAGATCAGGAAATTCTTGTGAGTAGAATAGCAAAGAACTTAGGTTTCAGTCCAGTGAAAGCTCTTAGACCATCTTCCAAGTTGTTGACTTAATAAGAGAAACCCACATTAAGTTCTACTCCACCAAACAGACCCACGATTACTCTTCAATTTCATTCTACCGAATACCCTGTGTAAATCGACAACCCGCAACCCCTTCCCAAGCCCCGAAAGATCTGACATGACCTGATCGGGGTTCCTGTAAGGACTCCCCAATGCCTAGAGAGTGTGAGGGAGAAAACAAGGCCCTTCCAGCTTTCCCAGGCAGCAACTAACCGGACCCCTACGTGCACTTTCTCACTTAAGCAGGAAGAAACAGTTCTGTCAAAACAAAAACAGGTCAAATATCTCCTTACCAGGAAATTCAAATACATCCTCCACAGTAAGGGGCACTGGCTGCCACTGTCACTCCGCATTGCATTTTCAAACAGGGCTCTGATCCGATGTGTTAAGCCAGTCTCAGGGATGGTGGCATGGATCTCTCTGCCATCTACCCTGCAAGGCAAGGACTCTTGTCATTCTCAGTCAAGATCTCTCCCCTGTATCGCAGCAGGAACATTTTCATGTCCACAAAGGTTAGCAACAACTGGATCAGAGCGTGTCAGGGCAGTGTCGTCCTCCAATGTGATCATGGGGGCAGCAAGTGCATGAGTGATGTGGCTTCTCCAAGGCCAGAAGGCAGCAGTGGCTCGGATTCTATTATTTCTACACCACACTGAGTCTGCCTGGAAGCCACACACTCTGTTCTTCTCTGTTTTCTAAAGAAACCGACCCTAAAATAAGAATGCAAACACTACTCTCTGGGAAGGAAAGACTTTTCAATTTAAAGTAAACAAAAGAACACTCACACGGAATAAATAAAATCCCAGTAGAAGAAATAAAACACAAACAAAATGAACTGCTATTCAAAGGCAATTCTGCCTAATACATAAGGACGAGTGAAGCAACAGTAAAAACTCCAGGAGGAACAATGATGCCTAAGCTAGTGTGTTCCCAAGGCTACCATTTTACCTTCAGACATAATATACTGTGCTAAAAGGTGGCATCTGAAACATGACAGAAGGTGGCAATTACCACCCACAGTTTATTGTGCGAAGCACTTACCCCACTGATCCCTCAGTGCAACCTTATGAGGTAGGTTCTTTAATGATCCCCATTTAACAGAAGTGAAAACTGTTAGAGAAGTGAAGTGATTTGCCTAAGGAATCAGAGAGGTCAACTCCATAGCCTGGGTCCTTGACCATTATGTTTCCACTACAGCTTCTCAGATGCTGCCAGCCAGCCAGGTGCAAACCAGAGCAGCATTCAGGCTCTCTAAAGGCCGGGCCCTGGCTGGGGATTTAGCTCAGTGGTTTCGCCACCTGCTGTACATGCGCAAGGACCCGAGTTTGATCCCTGGTACCAAAAAAAAAAAAAAAAAAAAAAGGCCGGGCCCACAAGACAGGGCCACAGCCTCTAATGAAAGACACCCCACTACTTTCTAAGCATCTTGCTCTACTCCAATACTTTACTCGGCCACACTGGGAGGACCACAGCAGGTGTTCTGGACCTGTGCCATGCCCACTTCTGAATTCCCAAAACCTGGCAAAGGGGGTGGGAACACATCAAGCTTCCCATAAAGCTTTGTGAAACACATGAAGAAGATGCCTCATCTTTACCTCTGAACAGTTTCCACTAGTCTTTTCCTCATTTTCTCAGCTTCAATTGCAAACAACCAAGGCTCCAAGGGTTTAGCAGACCTAGTGATTGCATCAAAGAACCTTCTGGTCTTGCTAGCACTGTGGGACTTATTTTGAATCTGTACATATGACCACCAAAGAACCTGGTTGCCTGGATACAGCTTTAAAGCCTCCGAGAGCGCCTCACGCAGTGGAGTCAGAGGATAAACACTAACTTTCATGTGGAATCTCAGTAGACTTATGTGCATCAGGGTGATGGCTTCAAGAACGCTGGTCAAACTCTGGGAGCTGGCACTGTGCTCCAGGACAAGGCCTTCTGGAACAAGAGAGACCTTTAGTTTGGCAAAAAGCTGCTCATATGTCCGTGCAGCAGCATCAATCCCTACAGTCAAATACTGGAAGAGCATAAAGCACTTAACCAAGCTACTCAGGCACTCCAAGGAATCAGCAGCAGCTGGACCAGAGGCACAATTCTCCCCAAGACAGTCCTGCAGCGCGTGCTCATAAGCCTTTCGAGCTTTCAAAACCTGAGTGGCCAAGACCTGCCCAGTGTAGGGCCCGTAGGGACTGCTCTCGGTCAGCCTGGTCAGTACATGAACAGCTCGGCCTGTGGCAGCCCCTCTCAAGTCCTGCAACAGCTCCACCTCCAGCTCAGCATAGAGCAGACTGAGCTCACAGAGCTCACGGTCCTTCAGCTCACTGTTGCCCGCCATGCTGACTGCCGTATCGAAAACTTTTCTGGCATCCTCTATGTTGCCAAGCAACCACTCCAGATGTGCATACTGCTTCCAGAGGCAAAAACTGTTGCGGTTTTCTGGCTCCTTAAGGAGATTCTTGGCTAGTTTTTTGCAGTTCTTCCCCTGTGACTTTAATCTCTTCTTGTTTTTAGTTTGTAGACACCAAATGACCTACAGGTAAAAGAAAAAGAGTGACTCCAGGTGATCTATAATCTTTAAGCAGTCCCTTTGTACTTTCACTTGAGAAAGCATTGATAGTACAAAACATCGCCTACACTTTCTTGATCGTGTATGTGGTAAACATCAATGCTCTCTGAGCTAGGAAAGAAATCAGGGTTTGACCTAGGATACAAGTGTCCCAACATTAACACATCCAGGTTATCCCTATAATCAAGGCTGATACACTCCAAATGTTCTTCTCCAAAGAAATATGGTTACCACATTTTATCAAAAACACTATTTTTATACAACTTGGGTCATGAAGCCGTAGTTAGCTTTAGAACTTTTGAGTATTAAGAGTTAATACTGAATGTAGCCATCAGAGGGCAGAACAGTAGATCCAGACTAATTTTTGAGCTGACAGCTATAAAGCACAGAATAAATAAGTAGCTTATTTAATCTATTCTAATAAGCCTCTAAATCCTCTAACTCTGCTTAAGCTTATGCTGTCCTGAACACTAACTACCCATATCATCACAGGCATCTGGTAAGACAAGACCACACAACGACAGCTCTGGCCACTGAGCTCGCCCAGATGGGCTCCTGGTTTCCTCCTTTCTCCTGGTCCCTCAAAGGGGCAGCCACAGAGAGTCACCTTCAGGAGTCACTGGAGGGGGTGCTGTGGCAGATCCCAGAGGAGCATTTGGGGTCCTGCAATCCCATCTGTAACACTGATGTGAAATGAAAAGGCCCCAAACACACAGAGGGGGAGGAGGCAGCTGGAGTTACCTTTGCAATCTCATACCGTAACCAGGAGAAGCAGAGCTGAGACTTTTGCTTGCCTGAAAATAAAGGCATCACAAGGTGGAAGACGTTGCGGATGAACTCCTCACCCTCTCGATTGTGACCCTTGACCCAGCGAGGACCGCCCAACCGCTCCAGGTGGCCAACACAGCTAACGCCAGAAAATGAAGGGCTGAAAAAAGTCAAGGGCTTCTCTTCATAAAGTCCATTGTCAAAGACGCTGTTCTCATCCATGGCCAGGTAAAGGCAGGAGGCTGGAGGGATGAAGCCAGAAGGCACACCCAAAAACTGCAGAAAGGCCTCGATCAGCTGGAACTGGAGGTCTTGGCTGCTAAGTCTGATCAGCGATTGTCCAATGTCATCAAACAACACCTACAACGAAGGCAAAGTGCAGTGACCTACTTAGGAAACCAACAAATCCTTCACAATCTTTCACAATTCTTTTTATATGGATGTACAGTGGTACCTTGGTTCATAAACTTGGTTCTTTCCACAACTCCAGCAGCAAACCGAGTTGGATGAGAACCAAATCAAATTCAATAGTTAGGGGGCCGGGATTTAGCTCAGTGGTTCCGGTGCCTGCCTCGCAAGCACAAGGTCCCGAGTTTGATCCCCGGTACCAAAAAAACAAAAACAAAAACAAATTCAATAGTTAGGTTCAATGTTACCTTATGGGGAAATTTGATTCAGTTCTTGTCCAATGCAGTTTGCAACCAGAATTATGGAGAGAACTGAGTTCCTGAACTGAGGTACCACTGGACTAATGCTTCATTATTCAAACTCATTTTAAGTAGACAGGCTAAGTTTTCTGCAAAATCAGGCCTCCCAAGGCAACCTAGACTGCTAGAGAACTCCCAGTAGCCCCTGGATGCCAACAGCACTTTCACACACCAGTACTGGAGAGGAGGGAAGCCATCAACAGACTGAAGCCAACAGCTTTCAAGCCACCCTGCTGGATCTGTAAAAAATCTAGAACTGCGTTCACTTTGGCAAGCACACATAACTGCTTTTATAGTTACTTTGACAAATTAAAACTGTGAAATTTTTTTAAATCTTAAGATAGAAAATTAACTATTTGTAGTTTCTTTGTACAATTTACTTCAGGAAATGAAAACTGGTCTAAGACAGATACACAAAAAAGGTAAGATGGAAACAACAGGAGCAACGGACCACGTTAAAAGCAATTTTAAAAGCCTAACACTAACTACATGTTCATAGCCAATTTCATGTAACTATTTTAAAATCTAAGACCAAGGACACTACCCTTGTCTGAAGGTGCTACCTGCCTGATCAGCCTCTATGGCTCTTGGTATGAGGAAATCAAAATGCAATAAGCTCAGTAAAACTGGACTATCTGGGATTCGGCACATCAGACCATCAATTAATCAGAAAGCTTTTCTCCTTTGGGCTTTGATTACAGAAAAATCTAAACAACAAGAAATTGCTCACAGAAGCAGCTGGCTCCAGAAACCAGCTTTTAGAAGTCAGGCAAAATTCTGAGCCTGAAAACCAACATTCCAAAAGTTTGCTTAAACTCTGTAAAATAAAATTAAAAAATTTTTAATAAAAAGAAAGAAAAGACAAGACAAGACAAAGATCCCGTTCTCTTCTATACATTCAGCTTCAGTCAGGAAGGGGCCTCCCAGGCAGACCCACCTCCCACCTCCCACAGCAGGCCAGTGGACAGAGGTCTCCCAGAAAGCAGGCCCCTTCTTCCTGCCCAGAGGTCGCCTCTGTCCCCTCTTCTGTGTGCCCCGTCCAGTCTGGCTACCCCATTCATCACCCCTCAAATGAGGGGTGCACTCTTGAGGCTTCACATTTCACCATCAAACAAATATCCCTTCAACATCCAAGACCATTATCTGAGCACTGGGCATGGGAGAGACACTGTTCTAGGTACTGGTGACAAGCAGCGAACAAGAGAAGCAAAATCCCTGCCAAGGCACCTCACATGCAGGGAGGGACACAGAGCCTCATTACTGAGAAAACCTCAAGCAATAAAGTTGGCATCTTGTGAAACTGGGTCACTTCTAGGCAACAAAATAACATGTCTCTTTTTATTTTAATTTAAAACCTCCAGAGCTGCTGGCTACATGTAAGGACATTGAATAAAACCACCGAAGAGAAGTGCCGGGCACCTGGCAGGTATCCATCAACACTAGTTCCTTGTTTCGCAGGACAAGCTAAGCTACGTGCAGATGTCCCCACAGGGTCTGATTCTCCTGTCTTCCAGAGTCAGATCTGGCTGCTACATCTCCATGTATCCAACAGGGGGGTGGAAACAGAACAAAATCAAGGAAGCTAGAAGCTGAGGCCACAGGGTTCCACATGAAAACTTAACTACATGACCAGGAAGGCAATCTCCAGAGGGTAACCACGGGAGAGGTAACTACCTCCTACAAGGGACAAATTCTGTCCCGATACTGGGCAGGAGGGAAGTTTCCCCAGACCTGAACAGGAACAGGTGAGCATCTCCTAAGCCAGCCGAGGGCTTGGAGAGCCCAGCAACCTTCTTGCAGATAACCAGACACAACCGAAGTGAGAGGAGGGCAAAACCCCTGTGGCCAGCTTTGTTCCAGTGGTGGAAGGTACGTGCCTGTCTCTCTGGATCCTCGCAGTCTTCCTCAGTTTGCTTCTTCGTCTTATCAGGGCGCCAGGGCCGCCAGTGCCTCTGGTCTCGGGAACGCTCAGCAGCAAGCCAGATCTGCCACCTGGGCAGAGTCTTGTCTCTTATTTCCTCCTCGTCCTCTTCTGGTTCATCATCATCCTCATCTACACAGGAATGAAATTTCTAGTTCACCTGAGCCGTACATAAAGCCATCATCACTACTCAGTCAACCCACTATCCCTGGTACCGTGTGGCACCTGGCCTGCCGACATGGATCAGGGCCGGGCCAGGCTGTCAGGCACTCAATGGCATTGAGGGACTTTCCTAAAAGCAGGTTGATAAGGGTATGGAACCACATAATTTTTAATACTGTCACAGTAAAAATGAGAATGACATAATCTAGAAAACTACTGCCCCAGAGCACTTTCTGGAATGATGAAAATGTTCTTTTTCTGCATTAATATGGTAGCCACCAGCTACATGTGGCTTACAGGTCACTTAAAATGTAACCAATAGCACCTGCATGGCAAGCAAAAAAGAAATGTAACCAATAAAGGAACTGAATTCTTCATTTCACTTAACTATAAAGAGCCACATGGAACTAAACATTACTACTTTGGACCACAGTTTTAGAATGTTAAATGGCATTTAATGACTACACTAGTTTAGATTTTCTTAAGCCATCAGAATTTTTAGTCAATTAAAAAAAAACTTTAGTTAGTTATGACTTATTGCTATAACTTGATGAGAAAAAACAACTCAGGATATCCAATAATTTATTTCACTTTGCTTCCCAACTCTGAACATGCAGAATGGAAGAGGGAAAAAGTGTCAGTTGCCTGTAAAATTCCATATTAAAAAGTAAACAGGGTATATAAAACGGTACAGTCACACAGAAACAAGTTTGGCAGTTTCTCATAAAACTAAACATTTAGTTAACCAGAACTGTTCTCTGGGACACTGAGCCCAGAAAAATCAAACTCACATTTACCCAAAAATATATATACTAACGCTCATGGCAACTTTATTCATACTAGCCCAATGTCCTACAGTAGCTGACTAAAGAAACTAATACAGCTATATAATGGACTACTACTCAATGATAAAATGAACAAATTATTAATACACTCAACAATTTTTTATGTATCTCAAGAACCTCGCACTAAGTGAAAAAAGTCAATTTCAAAAAGGTCCAGAGCCTCTAAGTGCTGCTGTGGGTGAGGAGGAGCTGGAAGCCCCATGCGCTGGCGGCAGGAACATAAAATAGTGCAGCCTCTGTAAAACACAGCACGGCTGGTAAGAAAGTTAAACACAGAGTTACCCAATCAGTGGGCAGCTCCACTTCTGCAGAGTGCTGGCATTGTAAGTGTGCCCCTACTATGCCCAGCTCCTTTTTACTTTTTTAATGTGGCTACAAGAAGATCTGAAATCACACATGTAGCTCACACTGTATTTCAAGTGGATAGCTCTGTCAGAATGTAAACCTGGCAAGTGCCTTGGGGTCGTGTAGAATGGCAGTTATACAAATGCTAGTTAATAATTATTTTGTAATATCCCTAAAAAAACAAAAAGTATTTTTCAAAAGATCTGTTGGTCAGTACACTGCGAGAAAAACAAAGAGACTGTCTTGAATGTGTAATAAAAAGAATGGGGGGTAGGAAGGTTGGCAACAAGCTTGCTTCCTCAGAAGCAACTTACAGAAGAAATAAATTTCTTCCTCTGGAAACTCAAATCTTTAGAGCTCTATGTACCCAAGGAAAGGGATGTTGAGCGCCTTAAAGTCTCTAAAGAGAAGAAATGCTCTATTCTCTCATGAAATCTACTTAATTTTTTTAAAAAACATTTTGATGTTTGTACAATATTCTTGAGCTACTGACAAACAGCTTATACAGATAATCATGAAGATGTAAAAACAAATTCAAGATGAGAAAGCAGACCCGTTCTCACTGGGAGGAGCCTACCTGGGTTGATGACCACCCAGCCACCCCACTCCTGCTGGTGCATCCAGGCCCGCCAGCCTCGGGCGCCCTTCTCTCCAGGCCGGGGCTCTCCACTATCCCAGAAGGGCTCAAAGAATTCCACCTGTTCAGGTTTGAAAAACAGAAGTTAAAGCCACCCTACACAAGACCGCTGTGACACCAGGCAAAGGAAGTGCTGGTGGACAGAGGGGATCACAGGACATCTAAAATCATGTTTGCCCCCAGTGTTTAAAGTCAATTCATAGTACAGACCCCAAGACAGAAGAACTATCTAGTCTGGTAGGCAGCCCCCAAGGTAGCTCCCATTACCCCACTCCTGCCTTGGTATACACACTCTTGAGTGTGGGCTGGACCCAGTGACATCTAACAAACCAAGTATGGCAAAGTGACAGGTGCCACTTTGAACATTAGGTTATGGAAAGACTGGCCAAGGCTTGGTTCCAAGGGCCTGCAGCCAGGCCACAGGAATAGTTCCCCATTTCTGACCCTCCAGGGTACTCTAACCAGGGACAGCAGCATTTGCCAGTTCCTCTAATGCCACTGGATTCCCTAACCAGTATTTGAAGTCATGGTGCTTTCAAGACCTTTTAAGGAAAATTCAAAATTCCAATGGGACAGACTGTGAGCTACTGAGGGGACAACCACACGTTAGGTAACTGTTTATTCCTAACATCTGGTCACCTGGCACAGTGCTCGACAGACAGTGGGGACTCAATAAACGGTGGTTGGCACAGACGTGCAGAGTGAGGCATGTGGCAGGTAGAATGGTCTGTATTTTAAAGCCGAGCCCTCTGAGCCCCTCCGCCATTCATTCGGGCATTAAGTCTGCAGTACGTGCAGAGCAACTCGCCGCAATAAACAACTCCCTGAGGAACAAGAGTGTGAAAGCAGCACTGAGTAGGAGTGTGATCCTATTATAAACGGGCAGCCATACTTTAAAAGTGAGCACAACCTACTCTCACAAAAGCTTTCGTAAGTAACCTTTCAAAGAGGACAAGCAGGCTTCCAACAGGCAAACCACAGGCTGAGTCAGAGGACTATGCAGCCTGAGCCTGGACAGTGACACACACACACACACACACGCCGGGTCGCCAGGAGTCACCCCAGGGCCAGGCAGGCGCACATGTTGATGTGGGGGCGTGCTGGTCACCTTTGCTCTCGTTAACAAGTGATGGAAGAAAATCCATCAAGAACAAGAAAGATTTTTTTGTTCTGTTTTTTGGATTTTTGAGATAGCGTCTTGCTATGTAGTTCAGGCTGGTCTTAAATTCACTATGCAGCCCAGGCTGGCCTCAAACTCACAGCAATCCTCCTCCCTCAGCCTCCCAAGTGTTGAGATTATAGACATGTACCACCACGCCCGGCAAGAAGAAGGCTTTTTAAAAATAGTGTGACAAATGTTCATAACCAATTCATTTATTCCCAGAAACAGACCAGTAACCTCAGACTCTGCATGTTTATGTTGTGCTACTGTGTTTATGGTAACAGAGGCAATACGTATGAACACCGTTAAGTAAGAAACTACTCAAAGTCGCCAAGTAAGTGCTCTGGAAACACATGTGCTGTTAAGTATTTAAAACCTGGAGATCTCGGATCAGGGTCTCTCGACCTTCAGAGCAGTGGCCCTCAGTGCACTGCAGCCGCGGGTGGTGCTCCCCCCGCCCCCACCCCGTCAGTGACCACACCTATCACGACAGTGAGTCTCAGCAGACAGAAGGCGAGAGGGGTCTGGATCCGGACTCTCTGTGTCCTCACAACCAGCTAAGAATCAAATCACTTCTGGCTGCATGCCTGCAAGTCTAGTACCTGGGAGGCTAGGGCAGGAGGATCGCCATGAGCTTGAGGCCAGCCTGGGCTACACAGCGAGACCCAGTCTCAAAAAAAAGAATCACTTCTAAAGCACAGCGTATTCTTAAAATACCAAGACATGTCTTGAAACTACTGTGGCTTATTAATAATCAGTTACGCCAATGTTAACTGGTGTAATTCTATAACCCCACTTTGTCTAGAGGTAGCATCATGAAAATGGCCTTTACTGGCAATTCATAACAATTCTTCCTGAATGAAGCTTACCCTCTAACAATAGACTTTGGAACAGTTACTACAAATTCAGACATTCTATGCATATTCCCAGACCCTCTTTATGGGGCAGAAAACCGAGTTTTCTTCAGTGGAAAAGGGAAGAGATAGATTTTCACATATGCATAGTTTTATGACAGGATTTTTTTTTTTTTTTGCTTCATGTAACAAACATCGGCAATGTTCACTTGTCATCTTACGAACCCTCCCCAGTGAAGAGTGGTGTTGGTTCTAATTTGCTTTGCAACTCTAGCAAAGACTGAGGCAATGGAAAAGTTAATTGGGGCAGCAACATAAGACCTAGACTAGCAGGTACAAAAGTGAGAGATAGTGACTCATGGCTTAAAATGGCATGATAACTGTTCCTCACTGGTGCAAGTAACCTACGTTTAATCAAGGACAGCCAGGCATGGTGGTGCTCACCTGTAATCTCAGCACTCTGGCAGGCTGAGACAGGAGGATCACAAATTTGAGCCCAGTCTCAGCAATTTAGAGACTTAGTGATACCCTGTTGCAAAATTTAAAATGACAAAAGGTCTAGAGATGTAGCAAAGACCCTGGGTTTAATCCCTAGTTTTGAAAAGTAACAAAGAAACGAGTCATACATGAGGAAGAAAGGACTTCAGTGAGTCTCTATTCGGGACAGGGAAAGGGAGGGAGCTTCTTTCATCTATCCGTATTTCAGTACTTTCAGTATGGAGTTTCCCTTGGATCACTGGAATACTTCTAAGAAAGACAGAGCCTCAGATCATGCAAGCAGAGCTTGGTACCTGTACTTTGGTAGGCAGATCTTTCACACTGTCAGGTTTGAAGAAGGTGAAATCGATCATGGCCTGGAACAAAGAGATGGCCTTCTCCGAGTGGCCAGCCTGCCGCAAAAAATGGCACTGCTGAAGAAAGAGTGCTGCAGTGGGATGGCAAAGAGAAGAATCCCTCATTAATACCACTGCGGGGAAAGAACTAACTTCTCAACACATGCAATTAAACTCCAAGAATTCCTTTTACCAAAAATTACAGTTACATTTTCAAAGCTGTAACACTTAAGTCCTGATTTTACACACGGGTGATTTTAAAGGAGTAAGAATGGTACTGTAATCTAAATAGTTTTTCTAATTATTTTATTAAACCATCACATAATACAAATGTTAACAGTAAAAAATATATATATGTTACCTAAAAATAAGTCAAGTGGTTGATATGAATATTGCCATCAAATACTCAACACTCACTATGACAAGAAAATCTAGGGAAAGGATGGCGTAGATTTTTATCAGAAAGCAAACATCTGCACTCAACTGAACACTAGATGGCACTATTCACCAGCAAGCTGGGCTTTGTGTTCAGGTCTGTCGTGAACAAAAGTCCCATGTCTGAAAATTTCTGTTCATCTTAATTGTGTTGTAATTCCACTTACTGAATAACATGAAGCTATTTAAGCACATCACAAATAATACCAAATATAAACCTTAAAAATACATTCCACGTTATTCATTTTTATTTTTATTTATTTGGTGCTGGGGACTAAACCTAGGGCCTTGCGCATGCTAAGCATGTGCTATACCACTGACTACATCTCCAGCCCCAAATGTCAGACTCTTTGCCAGAGGGAGAAATGCTTATTACTTCTAGAGCAACATAATTACATTTTTAGATACTAATGGTAATATTCAATTTCCAATAAATGCCTGCCGTGTGCTACACGCTGAGCTGGGCTCCTGCACCATCTCAATGTGCACAACAGTCCTATAAAGCAGGTATTATACTACTGCTCCTGATGGAGAACTGCAACTCACACAGGTCAGGGAATCTGCCTGAGGCCAGACCACAGCTAATGAAGGACAAACCCAGGATTCAAACTGAAGATTGATACATTTATATTCTAGGCTTCTTTGGGACACACCAGAAACATTAACAGCATAATAACACGAGTAACTGATATCCATGCAGTCAGTATGCATCACATGTACATTAGTGCCAGAGACCCTGTAACTGGGGGTCTCAACAGATAAGGCCGCTGACAGGCAAAGATCTGACTGGCTTAATAAGTGGAAAACTTGGAGCTTCCTGTCCAGCATTATTTTCCTGACTCTGCTGGCTCTAATCCCACTCCTATCTGTCCACTCTCAGAGCTGCGGGAGGGGGGTAACCTGTTATAATTAACTGGAGTTATGGCATTTTTAAAAAATCAGTTTTGACAATTCAGACTCTTAAAAATAAATCTTCATTTTCAACTAAACTCAAATGCAAGAAAGCACAAGTCTTCACACACACAACTGAACCTGCTTATCCTCTTACCAAACATGGCCTCTTCTGTGCCAGGCAACGCAGGGTGAGATAACATGCTGCCGTCCTTAACCGCAGACAAAGTGCTCAAGCACTTCCCATAAAGACTGTGGATTTTTGAAACTGAAAAGGTGCTAAACTGGCTCTGGCAAAATAAAAGGTATTTCTGCCAAAGGGCAGTATTATTGGGATGTAGGAAGATCAGTTTCTGCCACTCTTTGACAAGTGTGGAAGGCTCCCAGAACTCGGCGCAGAGCTTCAGCTTGGCGAGCTTCAGATCCACACTGCTCTGATTGCTCTCAATGGCCCGCTCCAGAATGGCCAGCTTCTTCTCCAGGACGAGCTTCAGGGACTTCTTCCGCTTCTCCTGCTCTCCCTCCTCAATGGCATACAGGCCAGGACTCTTCATGACCTCATCCTCAACAATGGAAACAGCAAGTTACTAATGCAAATGGAAGGGCCTCAGAGTCTCAACAGTGCTTAAATCGACTGACAGCCCTCGATGGGTTTTCCACCTCTCAAAACAAACTTACTCCAACTTTGCTAATAGCCACTTATTTATCACAAATTCTTTTCATGAAAACTTGGTTCCTAGGGTGCTTGTGTCCTTGTTCCCCCTAAATGATCTATTTACTGTCATTTTTAACTGAGATTTAGGTACAATGCCTTGAAACCCTTTTCTGAAGAGTCAACCTTATCAATAACATGGCCCAATATGCAACAAAATCTAATACTTGTAGGAATGGTTCAAAATGCAGGGTGAAGACATAATTTGGAAGGCTCTAACTGGCCTGTATGCTCAGTAACTTCCTGAGCAGCCCTGTCTCTTCCACAATTCTGCACACTCTGCCTATGTGGGTCATACCGCAGGAATACCTCTCCTTGCCTGGTGAACATCTACTCTTCTCTTGAGTCTGTTCCTGGGCTGGAGATGCAGCTCAGTGGCAGAGTGCTTGCTTAGCACATATGAAGCTGAGCTGGATCTCCAGCACCACAAAGAGTCAGTTCTAGTTTCCTGTCCCCTTGACAGCTTTTCTTCCTCCCTAGTGACGAGCCACTCCATTCTCAAGTAACATGAACACATTCCCTACCTCAGGCTGCATTTATTCCTCAGGCATCGGGCTTCCTCATTGGACTTTGAGCACACTGAGTGCAAGGACTATTATTCTAATCATCTTTATGTGCCCAGTGCCAGCCTTTCTCCCAGCAGCTCAAAAAGTGCTGTGAAGGAAATGGTCTGTCCCAAATCAGGAAAGTCATTTCAAGGCAAGAGAACCAGAACAGTGACACTTACCTGAAAAGCCACAAATGCCATCCACAGCTGAATATCCCGAGGATTCTCCCGAACCTTCCTGTTAAACTCCTCCACCTTGGCCTTGAGAACAGCTGTCTCTCTGTCTGGCTGGGAGTCTGGCTGCTTTGATTCTTGCTCTGAAGGACCTTGTCCTTGTAACCACTGTGTGGTTGACTGATCATAAATCCCCAGAGGATTCAACCAGGTTGTAACAGGAGCGGCCACATTATCAGAGTCCTTCACTGGGATAAACAGGACTGGCTCAGAGGAAGGAGGCTCTGTTTTACTGGTAACAGCAACGCCGTCGATGTTCATTAATCCCACATTCTTCTTCGTAAAATAGCGCTCAACGTGCTTGTGTGAATGCTTCTTTGCCGTGGAAACTCCTTCCCAAGATATACACTGCTTCTTAGAGTTAATGCCCAGGCAGGAGTCTCCTTTCCTCTTGTATCTGACATGAGGAAAAGAAAAAAAGTTGTAACTTACTAGTGACCTGGGCTCATTAGACCCAAAGTCTAGTTATCCAGGTTCACTGCATATAAACAAATTCACCTTGCCTTCAAAATACTTTTACTTAGAGCCATACGAGGATTAGCAATTAGCTTTCTTCTGTCGGGCTTGACTTCTTCCTATAACACTTTAACCCTTTATTAACATCTGCCTGAATTTAAATAATGTGTCTTCTACATCTCAGAAACTTGGATTTTTCTAAAGCTTTGTAGTTCAAGTACTGTCATATATGCTGTCATTTGATCATCACAGCCATAATGTGACAGGCAAGGCAGAAATGAGCAGCCCCTCTTTTACACAGTTCCAAAATAAGCACACTGAGACCTGGAACCTAGGTCATCTATCTCCTAGATCACTTCCATTTCCTCACTATTGTCTTGCATACCTTCTTAAGAAGACAATGTATCTAAGATTATTTTTTTAATCCTGAAACAAAGTATGTCAAATGAACTTACATTTGGTTGTTTTCTACTCTAGTAGAAAAGAGAATGGGTTCTAAAATGCTTTTATGAAGCAATTCTAAGCAACAGAGACATGGCTGGGATTATCATAATCCCCATCTTGAAACTATACTACAAAGCTACTGTGATAAAAACAGCACGGTACCGGCAAAAGAACAGACCTGAGGATCAGTGGAACAGATTAGAAGATGCAGAAGCAACTCCAGACATACTCAGCCACCTCATCTTTGACAAAGGAGCCAACCACCCTCATTGGAGGAAAGATAGCCTCTTAATAAATGGTGTTGAAAAAACTGGATTTCAACCTGCCAAAGATTAAACCCATTGCCAAAGATTAAACCCTAGACCCATACCTAAACTAAGATCAAAGTGGATTAAAGATCTAAATATTAAAACAGAAACACTAAACTTGCTGGAAGATAAGTTAGGTAAAACTCTTGAAGACATTGGCACAGGAAAAGACTTTATGAACAAAACCTCAGTAGCACTGGAACTAGCACAAAGAATCAACAACTGGGATCTCATCTTATTAAAAAGCTTCTGCACTGCAAAAGAAACCACCAACAGAGCTAACAGACAACCTAAAATGTGGGAAAAAATTTTTAGCAGCTGTACCTCAAAGGACTACTATCTAGAATATATAAAGAACTGAAAAAAATCAGACCCCCCAAATTCAAAGACTCAGTTCAAAAATGGGTATCTGAAATGAACAGACATTTCTCAGAACAAGAAATAAAAGCAGCAAATAAATATATGAGAAAATGTTCAACATCATTGGTCATTCGAGAGATGCAGATGAAAACAACGCTGAGATTCCACCTCACCCCAGAAAGAATGGCTGCTATGAAGAAATCAACCAATAACAAATGGCTGGCAGGGGTGTGGGGAGAAAGGAACCCTGCTCCACTGCTGGTGGGAGTGCAGGCTGGTGCAACCACTGCGGAAATCAGTATGGAGATACCTCAAAGAACTAGGACTAGAGGTGCTGTTTGACCCAGCTATTTCCCTGCTGGGGATCTTCCCAAAAGAATTAAAAGAATCATACCACAGCGATATATGTGCATCCATGTTCATAGTGGCACAGTTTGTAATAGCTAAAGCTTGGAAGCAGCCCAAGTGCCCATCAACTGGAAACTGGATAAAGAAGATGTGGTTTTTTTATAAAATGAAGTACTACTCAGCCATAAAAAAATGAAAAACTAGAGTCATTTATAGCTAAATGGATGCATATTGAGGCCATACTCTTAAGTGAAATAAATAAGACACACATGTAAATACCAAATAGTTTCTCTAGTGTGAGAAACTGATAGTGTAAATAAGGGTTAAAATGATTAAAATGAATTGATAATTTGAAATAGGAAAAAAGGTCCAAAGACGTAGGGGTGAATGGGGAGGAAGGGGAAAGGAAAGAAGGGAAAGGAAAAATTATGAGAAAAGAAAAAAAAATGGAAATGAAATCTATGTAAATAGGGAAGGGTGGAGGGGGTGAAGGGCACACAGGTAATGGGGAAAAAATAAAAATCAAGATACATTATGTACAGGTACAAACAGCCAATGATAAATGTAAATGTATTGTATACCTAAAATGTACCAATAAAAGAACTTAAGAAAAAAATAAATAAATAAAATGCTTTTATGGAACATACAGATGTTCCCAGAGTTACCAACAGATGACTACTGAATACCTGCACAGGTCAAGCTAAAGAAAATTGTTCACTTTTCTGTGTGTATGATAGCAAACAACCCAGTTAAAAACTGAGCAAAAGATACGAGCTAAAATTTCATACAAGACGACATGAATGGCCAATAGAAACATGAAAAAGTACTCAATATCATTAGTGATCAAGGGAATGCCAATTAAATGATAATGAGACAGACACACTACATCACTTGGAACAGCTAAAATGTGTAAGACTGACACCACCAAATGTCAGTGAGTAACTACAGTTCTCATATGCTGTTGGTGGGAACACGAACTATTAGAATCGCTCCGGGAAAAGGTCTAGCAGTTTCTTAAAATACTAAACACAGACCTACCCTATGACCCAGCAATTCTATTTGTAGGTATTTACCCAAGAAAAGGAAACCATGCATATACACAAGATTTATACATAAATGTTCTCAGTAGCTTTATTCCTAACAGCCAAATGCTGGAAAAAGTCACTGTGTCCATCAACAGAAGAATAAACAGTGGTGTACCATACAATGGAATACTACTATCAGTAAAAAGGAACAAACTGCTGATAAATGCCAAGGCATAAATCTCCAAAACCCTGTAATGAGTGAAAGAAGCCAAATACAAAAGACTGTTATATGATTCCATGTATATGAAATTCTAACCTTGCAAAACTGATCAAAGGTAGAAAAAAATGAGAATGGTCATTGTCCTTGGGAAGTGTGGGTGGTGACTGACTGGAAAGGAGCATGAGGAAATGCTGGGGGGGATCACAATAATAGTGTGTATTTTTATAGAGGTCTGGGTTACACAGATGTATGCATTTGTCAGTACCTGAAATTCGCATATTACATTGTAGCAAGCTTTAAATTTTTTTTAAAAATACTGACTTTTAGCTAGTAATGTGCATGCTGATATATTTAGGCAATAGTACAGTTCTTTCAACTTCTGCTGTATACTCGAACATCTGTATGATAAAATACTGTGGTCAGAAGAGGGCAGGGAAGAGTGTCCTCCACTTCTGTAAGTTCCCAGAAAGCTCTTCCACTTCACCCTGGGCCTGCTCGGCTCTCTCCACTGTCCAGGGCCCTCTTGGCCTGTCTTGCCTCTTCATCACTGCCTGGTGCAGAGTTCCACTTTAGGAAAATACTTCCTCACATATACATGCAAGTTCTCCCTGAAACCCTGCCATGGTGTGAATGTCCTTCTAGAAACAGGTTTAAACCTAACCCTCAAATTCATACGATGATGATGTTCGGAGGTGTGGTTTTGGAGGTAATTGGGACTGGTTAAGGAAATCAGCATGGGGCTCCCATAATGGGACTGGCAGATTTATAAGGAGAAAAGGAAGAGACTTGAGCAGGCATGTTTGCTCCGTCTTACCATGTGATGCCCTCTACCATGCTATGATGTAGCAGGAAGACGCTGAGCTGAGGCCCATGCCATTCTCTTGGACTTCTCAGCCTCCAACTATGAGCCACATAAACTTTTTTTTTTTTTTTGGTACCGGGGATCAAACTCGGAACCTTGCACTTGTGAGGCAGGCGGCAGAACCACTGAGCTAAATCCCTGGCCCCAAATAAACTTCTTTATAAATTATCTGTTCTCAGGTATTTCAGTATAGCAACAGAAAACAGACTAAGACAAACCCTTTCTCTATCACACTCAATTCCTCCTAGATTACATTAGGATAATCTTTCTCTATTGCACTGAGAATCAAAAAACAGCCATAACCAGGGCTGAAGTGCACCTCAGTGGTATAGTGTGTGCTTAGAAAGCACGAGGCAATCTCCAGCACCACAAACATACATACAAACATAACAAAGGTGTGATGAGATACAATAGTGAGCATCAGGTTGCTCTAAATAAACCTGTCATTTTAAAAGGAACAAATTATAAGTAAAAAAGCTAATTTTGTATCTCTACTACTATTTCAATAGTATTGATTCCTCATTAGTTAAAAATGTACAGTATCGGGCCAGGGATTTAGCTCAGTGGTTTCACCGCCTGCTGTGCAGGTTCAAGGACCTGAGTTCGATGCCTGGTACCAAAAAAAAAGAGTGCTGATAGGGGCCGGGGATTTAGCTCAGCGGTTTCGCTGCCTGCTGCGCAAGCTCAAGGACCCGAGTTCAATCCCCGGTACCAAAAAAAAAAAAAAATGTACAGTATCTTAGATGTTCATATCATAACTGGGCTGGGCAACATAAATTTGCTTTTCCTTTATTGGCTTCCACTCTCACACACCCCTCACAGTGCCAAACTACCTGCGTCCAAATTCCAATGCTACCACTGACTAGCTGTATGAACCTGACGAAGTTATTAAAACCTGTATCTTTTAGTCAGCTTTTCCTTACTATAACAAAATACCTGAGGCAGTCTACCTTAAAGAAGAGAGGTTTGGTTTGACTCAGTTTTGGACACCACAAGTCCAAACAGCAGGATGCAAGAACTGATGAGGGCCCCTTTTACTACATCACATCATGGCAGGAATGTGTGTATACCTCTGTGCCCATCTGGGCTCTCAGCCTCTCCTTACAAAGCCATAAGGATTCATTCATGGGACTCAGCCCAAATGACAAAATCTAATCCAATCATCTCCTAAAGGTCTCACTCTTGACACCAAGGTTAGATTAAGTTTTCACCCCCGAATACCTTCAACATAAGACTTTGGGGATTAAACTGCATGAATTCAGAGGCACAAACCACGTTCAAACCACAGAGGGCTCATACCTGTAACCCAGCTACTGAAGGAGGAGGATCACAAGTGTGAGGTCAGTCTGAGCAACCCAGTGAGACTCTGTATCAAAATAAAGTAAGAAGGCCAGGGGTATAGCTCAGCGGCACCAAACCTGCCTGGCACGCACAAGGTCCTAAGTTTGATCCTGGTACCAAAAAAAAGAAACAAACAAACAAAGGGCTTAGGGTGTAGCTCAGTGGTACCATGTAGAAGGCTGGGGGTTCAATCTCCAGGATCATAAAAACTAACAAAAAAGCACTATCTGTGCCTCAGTTTCCTCATATGTCAAATGGGAATAATAACAGTACCTGTGTCACAGAATTACTGGGATGGTCAAAAAAATGTACAAATGTAAAACCCTTGGAAGATTATCTGCCACACAGTAACAGCTAGATAAGTTTAAACTATTGTTAGTATTTTATAAAACTTGGCTTCTCAGGTCAGGGATTTAGCTCAGTGTTTCGCCACCTGCTGCTCAAGTGCAAGGACCCAAGTTCAATCCCTGGTACCAAAAGAAAAAAACCCAAAACTTGGCTCCTCCTAAACATAAACCAATTATTTTATCTGCTGTGTAGCCAAAGAAACAATCTATTCAAAAATGGAGGAAAAAATTGAGCTGCACTTCACTGAAAGACAGTATTTTATTTCTGATGATTTTCCAAAGGTAATGACTGTATCATTTCCATGTGACCCACTAACTTCAGAACCTAAGCCCTGTTTACCATAATACTACACACACACAGTGTCAGTGCTGGACGCACATACTCTTTTCTACTGAGCTAAACCTGACTTCCTGCTACTTATTCAGTCCTGGTTCTGCCTCCCTGAGTCGCACGGAACACTGTGTATACAAAGGACAGCCCAACAAAGCTTAAAGGACAATTACTGTCTCTGCCAAGGGCCAACATTCATGACCCCTCACCTAGTTCTCACACAATGGAGCAAGTCTAAATCATAAGTAACTTCTTACCATCCTCAAAAGGATCTCGGACTGTCACTGTCCTTCAAGTGTGAAAACACAGGACCTAACAGAGCATTCCCACTGCCCTCTGACCAGCTCAGAGGGCTGTGCAGTCCACTTCGTCCCAGATCTGGGCACTAACACTTATACAGGAAAGACTGCCTCATTGAAACTTAAATGATGAGGAAATCAACAATGCCCCAAGTCTTTCACTAGTACTATCTTTGCACTTCAGACTAATGAAGCTGTGCCTAATTACCCTTCTTCCTAAGAACTGTGCCTTTCATTAGCAGAACCTCGAGAGCCACTCTTTGTTAATGTTTTCTCCTTTTCTCATCTATTAATAAATAATAACCCTTTAAAGTTGCATACCGAGTTCCAATTCTGTATCAAATATTAATGATATCTGAGTGTAAAGCAGGACAGGAATTCTAATTCCCAATTTACAAATTAAAAAAAAAAAGAAGCTCAAAAGATAGGTGACTAGCCTGGGATTATGCAACTAATTAATGACAGTCAGAATGAAAACACGGGTCCCTCTGTTTCCAACTCCCCAACAGGAGTGTTCTACCACAAACCTGCCTCATTTCTACTTGTGGTTCAAATCCCAACCATGCTGCTCCCTGGTTGCCTGATCTCAAGCAGTTACTTAAACTCCCTGAGATTCCTTTTCCTCCCCAAGGTGCAGCTGCAGGCATCGACAGGCTGACACAGTGAAAGGAGCAGAGAACGACAGCGCACACCTCCTGCCAGGCCACGTTTGTGACATCTCCATCTCAGTGAGGATCCAGATCTGGGGCACTACCCTGTTGCAGCACAGAAACCCATGAACACTGCAGCTGGTATTAAAATAACCCAAAAAGTTGCTTGGCATGGTGATGCATACCTATAATCCCAGCATTCTGGGAGGCTGACAGGAGGATCATAAATTCAAGCCCAGCCTAGGTAACTTAGTGAAACCATGTCTCAAACTTAAAAAAATAAAAGGGCTTGGGAGCTAGCTCAGTGTAAATGCCCTGTGTCCAATTCTCAGTCCTAAAAAAAGGTCCAAAAAAAATGAATATGCTTAAAATATGAGTCATTTATTCTTTGCCATAAGGCTTTAGTCAATGGTGTACAGATTAAAAACAACTGTGATAAATTTATCATAAAGGAAATTTTAAACGTTGTGCAGTGGCAGTATCATACCCAATGAGGTTTATCCGAGGCACAATTATTGCTAACTGAAAACTTTTCCCATAAAGGAAATTTTAGTTGGAATTGTGTGATGAGGTATAATGTTGGGATGAATGAAATATGATTAAAATTTGGGGGCCGGGGATTTAGCTTAGTGGTTTCACTGCCTGCTGTGCAAGCGCAAGGACCCATGTTCGATCCCTGGTACCAAAAAAAATAATAATAATAAAATAAAATTTGGGGGGCTGGGGATTTAGCTCAGTGGTTCCGCCGCCTGCCTCGCAAGTGCAAGGACCCAAGTTTGATCTCTGGTACCAAAAAAATAAATAAAATAAAATAAAATAAAATTTGCAAGTGCGGTAAGGTACCGGAAACTGAAATTTATTTTAACGAGTAACTGGCCTATACAGAAGAACTCTCTCCCAGATTTTCTCTTGACCTTGTATTCTGTGATTCTCTAGCTTTGATTTTCATTACCCGCAAACTCATCAAGAGTAAAGACTGTGTATTATTGCTCTTTATATTCCCAAGTTTCCTACAGATTACTAAATGTCTAAAGGGTCTTAGTAAGTACTAAAATATTTGTGGTGCTTGTTCAGACAGGGTCTCACTAAGTGGCCCAGGCTGGCCCTGAACTCACAATCCCCCCATCTGCCTCCCGAGTAACAGATAACACGCACAAGCTACTGCACTTGCCTTACACAAGTATTTTTGATTTGACAGTTTATAGGGAAAAAGTTTAAACTTATTACAGCAAATACTCATTACAGCAAATAATACCACCTATTTTTATGATCATCTGGAATTATATGCTAGAAATAATTTGAAAAAGTCATTACCATTAAATGTCATTTTCTGAAATGGCATATGTGGGGGATGGATAAATAAAAGGCTTTTGGTACTTTTAAAAATGGCATATAGATTAGAACAAATGGTTTCTGGATACTCATCACAATTAATTATTATATTTTTAGATTCATTCATTCAACAAGCATTTATTAAATACCTACTACACTAGGCACTATGCTAAGCACCAAGGATAAATTAAAATTAATCTGACCTGACCACAAGGATTAAGCTTTCAATTTAGGATGTGAGATGAAATGTGTCCCTTTAACAGCTAAATAATGATAAGACCCAAAAGAATCTATGAGAGAGAAATAAAGAGGCAAACAGACAATCCTCAGAGTTCAGCAAAAATCAGGGGAAAATATGGCTACCTTGCTATATCCCCTCTGTAAAGAGACTTATACTCCCAGTTTGCAGGATCCGGTTTCTTATCTGTTCTGAAGATTTCTCCTGTTTGGATGTCCTCAAGCCAAATAGAGTGATGTCCAACATCAGCATTATTTCCGTGACTGTGGGACAAAGGAAAAGGAAGAGACACTTCAGAGATCTCCCACTGACATATTAGGCATTTTCCAAAATATGAAAGTAAAGCTTTTTAAACACCATACAGCATCAAAAACACCAAAGTACATAAAATTGCAAATGTCATAAAGATGAGAGGAAGAGTCTTACTCGGGAAAAAGTTTTTAAAACAAAGCAAAACCAAATGACACTTTAACAAGAAAAGTCTCAGAAATTAAGCCGAAGTATTACTGGAGTTTTAGGACAAAATCCAGCCTCAGGAGTCCCAACAGACCACACTGGAAGATCCATCCTGTAACGCCAATCAAGGAGACGGGCAGCAGAAAAGGGCAAGAGAGGCGCTTTAATCACCATGGCCATGCTGGGATGTACAGATCAAAAGGTTCAAAATCGGTCTTCAAGGGGCTGGTAGAGCTCTTGAGCAGGAAAGGGGAAACAAAGGCAGAATTTGGTGTTTTGCACAGCTGGCAGTATAGGTGAACCTGGTCAGGCTGTGTTCTGGTTGATCAGTATCTCAGGACTGCCACTGTGAGATTCTCCAAGAGTCATCACCACTTGAGGGGGGATTTGGCTCTCATCAGTTCCCGTCACATGACGGGGACACTGCCCCTTCTTAGTGGATGACCTCATTGAGGGTGGTCTGTGTGGCTCTGCTTTTCCTGCAGTTTTAGGATAGGACTAGAGACTGCTAAGCGTCACTCCAGAGGATGACAACTGGCTGTGAAGGCTGGCAACTAGATATCCCCATAATTCCTTTAGTAATTCTCTTAATCTGGTGTCCTCAGTATTGAAGAAGGATGGGATAGGCTGGTAGATTTAGGACTAACAAAGTTTATAACACACTCCTTCATGCCTACATGCAAAGCTGAGCAGGGATCTGATCCAAAGTTTTTAAGTAATAAAGGAGAAACATGAAGGCAGAGATGCTAAGCTTCATCCTGCTTTTAGTTCCCCACTAGGCACCTGCAGGCCCAATCTGTGGGTTCCTGTCTCAGAAGGATATGTGCTCTTTTTAAATATTTCATTTAAATGGCTTTAATTAGAATTTCAAATGTACTTATAAATAAGGTTTTTTCCTAAAAAAAAAAAAAAAAATACTCCTATTCTGAGGCACTTTAGAATGCTAAGCAGAGGACTACCACACAGTCAAAGGTGACAATCATGACATGACAGTGGGCTACCTCTGCTTCACCTAACTTAGTGATGGTGAACCTTTTAGAGACCCAGTGTCCAAACTGCAACCCAAAACCCACTTATTTATCATAATGTGCCAACACTGCACTACAATTAAACTTTAAACCATTAAACTTTAGAAAAAACAACTGTCATCCAATGCTCGGCTGCTGGGGCAACTTGGCTCTCGTGCTGACAGTGGGCTCTGCATGCCCACTGCGGCACACATGCCACAGGTTTGCCACCACTGACCTAACACACTTGAAAGTGCTCAAATACCTTACTCCAACTCATTACTTTAGAAAGGCACTAGTCTGAATTGCTCACCAGGGTGTGGTCTCAGTTCATCTTTATAGTCCTGTCCTGTGTGTTTGGCCTACACATCTGTACCTCCTACAGAAAGAGCAGAATCCTGAGAGTCCCCCAACACAGACCCTTATTTATCTCTTTGAATCAATTTGTGGACTGGCTAGCTTTCAGCTCAGATACAAAGGAAAGGAACTACTTCCCTGGGAGTTAAATGAGAGGGAGGGAAACATTTTCTGGCATCTAACATCTTTTTCTCCTCTAAAGAAAATCAGCTCATAATGCTGATGACACAATAAGCTGCCAAAGGAGTCAAAACAGCCATTAACTGTTGTTCCATCTTTGCTTTTTAGCTCTGCTTAGATACAAACAAAGATTCTGGAGGATTCTAAATCATTCTTCGCAGGGGATACAAAGGAATGGCATTTCAAGGACACAAAAGTAGCCACTTAATAAATGTGTGTTGAATGATGAGCCTCGGGTTAAAATATAAAATTCATTAAGATGAACGTTAATACATTCACCTTCACAACAACTGTCGAGGGTCTTCTACAAAAACTACAAGGGACAGAGAAAAGAGGAAGAGTCCACTGGGAAAAGACAAATGCATTTTAGAAAGAAAAGGAAAGCCAACTCAGGAGTGCAGGTGGATGCGACCGCAGACCTCCCCTGGGAGTAAACAAATCTCCTCTCTACCCTACTGGGTACTGGGGTCAGGAAGCAGGATGTGGTGGGTGAGCTGTGTGCTAGGAAAGTGCTGCCTCCACCTTACGTTAGGGAAAACTCATCCCAGGAAACAAAGGCTAATTAGCAGCTGAAACCTCTGGGGATCCCCTGCAGGAAAGTCCCACATGGTATGCTACCCTCCATGAACCCACTTCCCTGACATCATGGAAAGACATTCACAATGCACTAATATCTTGATCTTTGTCTATGTGGAAACAAACAGTTCTTCCAGGTCAACTTTCCCAAGAAGAAACCACAGAAGTTAACAGCAAGAAAGCAAAAGAGGGGCCAGGGATTTAGCTCAGTGGTTCCGCCGCCTGCCTTGAAAGTGGAAGGACGAAAGTATGATCCCTGGTACCAAAAAAAAAAAAGACAAAGAAAGAAAGAAAGCAAAAGAGAAGGCCAAGAACAATGTGTTTTGATCTTGGTAAGGTTATCCCACAAAATGGCAAACTTAAAATGCTATTTGGATCACAAAACCACTAAGAAGCTATGCTCTCCGAAATGGTTAAAGCATTAGCTGAAATTAACAATCTTCCAGATTCTCATGGTAGTCCCTAGTGGTTTCAGGAAATCCTTTACAACTCACTTTCCTCAACTCGAAAAAAGGACAAGCAGATAAAAGGTAAATTTTCAGAAGCCGTAACAAAGTAGTTTCTTCGAAGACATACTAAAAAGCAAGGATACTGGGCTAGCTTTGGACCTCAGTGGCTGAGCACCTGCCTGGCACATATAAGGACTGGGATTTGATCCCTTTTATCACTGAGTGGGGTGGGTGGGTGGATGGACGGACGCACGGACGGACAGACAGATGGACAGCCAGCCAGCAGCTCGGTACAGTGGCACACACCTATAATCCCAGCACTCTGGGAGGCTCAAGCAGGAGGACTAGCAAGTTGGAGGCCTTCTGGGACAACTTAGTGGGACAGAGTCAAAGTGAAGAAAAAGGGCTGGGGATGTAGCTCAGTAGCTCAGTGCAAGGGACCTGGGTTCAGCCCCCAGAGTCACAGAAATAGATACATTAAAGACAGACAGGCAGACAGCAAGAATATTCACTCAGCCAAAACACTGTCTCAGGCTCTGTGTCAGGTGCTGGAGGACAGTAAGCAGTAGGAGTAAGCAGGCAGCACTATTTCCTACCCTCCTGAATTCAGCCCAATTCAGAACCTTTGGCTTAACTCCTTTATCTCTTCCTCCTAAGAGCCAGCATGGGTTATAGGTACAGCACCTGAGCTACAGAGGGCTGAATAAACTTGGCTCCTCTGAGCCACAGAGACCGGCTGTGCTCATCACCACTGCTCTGATGACACCACTCCAGGACCCTGCAGGACTGCACCGTTTGCTTCTGATGGAAACTCTCAGGCTACTCCGGGCCTGCCCCAGTGCAGAGCTCTAACAACCAAGGGCCTTCCAAGAACAAAACAAAGGCAAATAATCTCTGAAGAGCTGCAAAGATCTTAACAGCACAATTTTTTTAAGTATGGTCAGAACAAGTATTTCAATTTTCTTTCTTCTAGACTGTAGAAGCAATGAAAAGAAAAAAGCTGGACGAGAAATAATTCAGATAATTTTATCACATACCATCTTTTCCACTTAACATGCCTTTCTATGCAAGAGGATGTTTGGCTAAGCAGAGAGGAAAAGCTATCCTGAGTACCCATACTGTGCCCCTTCTGTGGAATGGCGAGCAATCTGCTCGAGGAGACAGCAGAGACACAAGGAGAAATAAAGCCCCCAAGGACAGGAAATACTGTGGTCATCAGCTATCCTGCACCTTCACCACAGTGGTTCTCAGCAGATATAAGTAAAGGAGGACAAAAACCAACTACTGAAGAGCTACATTAACCTTAACCAAAGAGACAGGGCAGGGTGTGGAAGGGGAGAGAGAGTAAGAGTGAGAGAGATCGAGATCACGAACACAGGATGAAATGAACATCAAAAGAGGCTTTTGGTACTGAGTGTGGATGTCAACAGCCCTCAGGCATGGAACCCTTCACTGCACAGGCCCACTGTGTGCTACACTGTGCCATCTTTCAGAGATCCCAAAGCAGATCTTTTCTTGTTTTGTTTTTTGTTTTTGTTACGAAAGATCAAACTCGGGACCTTGTGCTTGCGAGGCGGGCAGGTGCCAGAACCACTGAGCTAAATCCCCAACCCTCTTGTTTTGTTTTTTTGAGCCAGAGTTTTGCTCTGTAGTTCAGGCTGGTCTTGAACTCACTATGTAGCCCAGGCTGGCCTTGAACTTGCGGCGATCCTCCTGCCTCAGCCTTCCAAGGGCTGGGATTACAGGTATCTGCCACCATGCCTGGCCTAAATCAGATTTTGACACAATCATTACTGTGTCTAAATAATATTTCTTAAATAAAATTATGTCCCTAATTCTTATGACAGTTTCCCTTTTGTTTTTAAGCTGATCTAATGGGGGAGTTCTCTCTCTCTCTCTCTTCCTTTGGCACAGGGATTGAACCCAGGGCATTCACACTGAGCTGCGTTCCCTTGGGGCTGATCTCGACAAGTTGTCCAGGCTTGACTCAGACTTGTGATCCTCCTGCCTCAGCTTCCCAAAGTGCTGGGGTTACAGGGCATACCACTACATCTGGCTAGAGTTCTCTTTTAACTGACTGGCTAAACAATCATTCAAACATCTAATTTGTGGCAACAATCAAAGGAGAAAAATTCAAACCTAAAATATCACCAGCATCTGAGAACAGCAAGCTACCTGGCTTTCTCGGACTCCTTCTGACTACTCCTGATGCTTCGGCACGACCTGTCCTCTCCAGAGTCAGTGTCTGGCTCTGACTCGCTGCTACTCGACTGCCCATGCTTCCTCTTCGTCTTCTTATAGTGCTGATGCTTCCTTTTTTTCTTTTTCTCTTTCTTCTTTTTTCTGCTTATTTGTGCAAGCTTTTTGTTAGTGTCACTCTCATCTGAAGGCTCTGATTTCAAAGGACTCCTGTTTGGGAAAATCAACTTCAGAATTATTTTCAAAAGACAAGTAGAAAACATATTATGTAAATAAGTAAATAAATAAATATGTAATAGGAAACTCTATGAATGTTCACACAAATTTGCTACTTACCCATAGAGTATACAGTACTTTCCTGGATTATAACTAATCTTAAGACTTAAGAATTGTAGCTAGGGGGGCTGGGGATTTAGCTCAGTGGTTCCACTGCCTGCCTCGAAAGGACAAGGACCCAAGTTCAATCCCCGGTACAAAAAAAAAAATTGTAGACAGGGATATAGCTCAGCAGCATGGCACCTGCCTGGCAAGCGCAAGGTCCTGAGTTCTATTCCCCAGTACAAAAAAAGAACTGTACCTAAAATAAAGGAAGAATATTTCATCGTAATAGTTTCTAAACCTTTACTTTCATATATATTCATCTTTAAATGAAGTTAACCTACTAGTTACTTTGTTAAATAAAGTATTTTAGCAACATTATTAAAGGTTTATTTTCAGTGACACATACCAGGATGTCCCTAAAACCAAAAACAAAACAAAAGGTTTGATTGTGGTCCTTGTTTTTAAAATTGAAAGTGAATCCTTCCTCACTACTGAAATGTCTTAGACAAAATTCTTCACAGGCATCAACTATTATCGACTTCCAAAAGGCTTCCTCGGCATTTAGGGTACAGGTTTTCCACCATTTTAATGAGTGAGACTCTAATCTATTTGTGAAAGAGTGCATTTCTCAACTCTGTGATCTACAAAAAATTATTTCACAGCTGGATAGAGATGCATGTCATTTTGCTTTCCCCAATGTTTTCAGAAGATTTTTATCCTATGTTATGTTATATGGGCTATTTTTACAAAAGTGTTGAATATGCAATTAAATAAATTCTAAATTACAATATCCTGAAGGTTACTAATGAGGTTAGTCAAGTTACTTGGAAATCACAATGCTGCCATTTCCCTCATGGCCCAATTACAGGCGCTAATTGTGTCATCCACTTGCTACTGCAACGCAAAGTTGGGGGGGGGCCGGGGAGGACAATCTATAGAAGTGAGGTCAGGGAAACAGCCAAGAGTGCCTCATTACTCTAAGTAACGGAAAAGCTTTACTGCGCTTTCACTATAGGGTTTTCTACGCGCATCATTTAAGCTAAGCTAAGACAATACACGAACAAAGGCTAAAATCCATCCATTAAAAAACTACCTTGTCAGTGTGGACCCTTCAGAAACAAAGGCTGTGGCCTCCTTGGTTTGTTGGTTCAGTGATGATGTTATTGTTCCAACACAAAAGCTTGGGTTGCTCAGCCAGTCTAATTCTGCACATGCAAAAGGGAGAAAAATCAATAAAATTAGCTCAATATGACTTCTAAAGCAGGAAATCCATCCATCTTATCTGGCATCCCAATTCATAGCCAATGTCAGCCAGACACTTTCAACAGCCCACAGGAGGCGAACAGAATCCATGAAATTTTTATTTCACAGGGCATGGTGCTTCAACACTCTCTAAAATATTTAAGACTGAAATCCTCCTGTGATATCAGGCTGCACCTTAAGCAAAAGCTACGTAACAAGTGTGGCCTAAAAGGCAACAAAGTTTTACATATTCCATCCATGTTATCTAATAAGCTTGAATGTTTCCAAACCATTAGGTCTGTTAACCTCAAATTTTGATTTAGACAATTCCTAAAAATTAAAAAGTCAAATCATGCATAACAGCCCACAAAGCTTAATGTTATAAACAAAACGAAAATCTTCTTAAAAATATGCAATGGTCTATCTTAATATAGTAACTTAGCCTTTCCTCATAGCAATATTACTCTTTGAAAATAAAAACACAAGATTCAATTACTAATGCTAAAATCATATACATAATGAACTATTTCTGAGTGATAAGATTAAATATCTAAAAATTTTTCTGCTTTCTACTTATCCATAAATTTCTAACTTTTCTATAATAAATTATTTCTAAATTGCTTACTTTCTAACTATGAGGGACAATAAAGCATGAGCCAGGTGTGGGATGGCACACACCTTTAATTCCAGCCCTCCAGAGGCTGAGGCTTGAGTTCAAGGCCAACCTGGGCTACCTAATGAGTTCAGGCCAGCTTGAACTACACAGCCAGACCTTATCTCAAAACAAACAACTAAAAAAAATAAAGCATGAGGTGGCAGTAGCAAGGAGGTCTTCTATACAGGGGCTCAAATTCTGTCCTGTTTTGTTTCAGGGTGAGAAGCCAGAGCAGATTCATATGCTGAGGAAAAAGAACCAAGGAAATGGCTAAAGATCCAAAAGAAGAGGGTAACTGCAATTTTAAGTTCCACTGATATAATTTACATACCAAAAAGTCCACTCATTTAAGGGATAGCTTTTAGCGTAGAGTTGTAAAACTATCTCCTTAACTGCAGAACATTTTCATCATCTCATAAAGAAATCTGACTCAGCAGTCAATGCTCCTCCCCTAACTCCTAGTACATCCCCCTTCTGCCCCAGGCAACCACTCATCTACTTTCTATCTACAGATCCACCTATTTTAGACATTTAATTTAAATGAGCTCATACAATATGCACTCTTTTGTAACTGGCTTCTTCCACTTGTGTAATGTTTTCAAGGTTCATCCATGCTACATTATGTCTTTCCCTCTTATTGTCTAACAATAATCCATTTTTCCGGGCATGGTGGCACATGCCTATAATCCCTGTAGGAAGATCCCTGTGAGTTGAGGCCAGCTTGGGTTACATGGAGAATTCAAGGCCAGCCTGAACTACACAGTGAGATCCTGTCTCAAAAAAAAACCTTCCATTTTTTGGATATATCACATTTTCTTTATTCACGAACTGTTGGATACTTGGGTAATTTTTTTTACTGTATGACTAATATAAATAATGCTATATACAAGTTTTTATATGGATATGTTTTCATTTCTCTGGGGTAGGAGTAGAACTGCTGGGCCATATGTAATTCATTTAGCATTGTGAGAAACTGTTTTCCCAAACAGCTCTATCATCAGATTCCCATTAGTAATACATATGATTCCAGTTTCTGTGTCCCACAAGTAACTGTTATTGTCAGATAATAGTCAGCCTACTGAGTGTAATAAGTTATCTCAATGTGGCTTTAATTTGCATTTTCCTCATGACTAATGATGTTGGCATCTTTTTATGAGTTTACTGACCATTCTTCTTTGGAAAAATAACTACTCGAACCCTTTGCCTATTTTTACACTGAGCTGTCTTTTGATTACTGAGTTCTAAGAGTTCTTTACTTATTCTAGATTCTAGTTCCTTCATGGCAACTATATCTTAGTGAGGGGATGTCAGTAAGCATGTTCCCTGAAGACAGGCATACCCGCTATGTGCTGGGCACGGAGGGGCAATGCCTTTCAAATAGTACATACGGCAATGCCTGGTTTACAGTAGATATTCAACAAATATTTGTAGGAAACAGAAAAAGGAGGAAGGATGGAGAAGTCCAAAGCCAGGTTGTTTATGGGCCAAACACCAGGCTGAGCATGTGCATCCTTTACGTTTTAAGCAACGTAACGACACTCTAGAGGAAGTATGATGAAGCATACTGCACAGAAGAGGAAACTAGGGCTCAAAGAAAGAAAGTAATTTATAAGGTCACACTTAGTAATTTACAATAACTGTTCACGCAACCTTCTATTTCCCTTTGCCTTCTGAGGTCATTCTCTTCCGTTGGGCCTAATTCCTGGCAGGCAGTCAGAGAAAACAGTTCCTGTAGCTCACCACCATCAGAATCATTTCCACAACAATCAGATTCCATCATGTACAAAGGAGAGAAAAATGGAAAAAGATGGAACAAACAGTATGCCGGAAAAGATGCTCTCAAGCCATTTCAGTATATATTTACTTATTTGAGATAATAAAGACAGCTGGAAGAAAATATAAACAAATAAAAACATCAAAACTACACACATGCTCCTGCCTGGCAAGCACAAAGTCCTGAGTTCAATCCCCAGTACTGAAAAAAAAAGAAAAAAACCCAAAAAACAAAAAAACTACATACAGTGTGTGACTCAGGTCTTTCAAAAGGTACAAGACAGGTCTCTAAAGGATGCAAATGAGGCTTTGCTACAGGGAAACGTGAAAAAAAGTAGTTTCTAGAAAACTAAAACTTGGGCCACAGATTTAGCTCAGCGGTTTCGCCACCTGCTGCACAAGTGCAAGGACCTGAGTTCGATCCCCGGTACCAAAAAAAATACAAAACTAAAACTTGCCAGCCATGTAATCCTATAATTACAGGTGCATGGCTGTAATCTCAGCACTCTGGGAGCCTAAGGCAGGAAGATCAAAAGTCTGAGCCTAGCCTGGGCAAATTAGGGATTTATTGAGACCCTGTCTCAAAATAAGAACTAAAAGTGCTAGAGATACAGCTTAGTTGCTAAGGCTCTGAGTTCAATCCCCAGTATCACTTAGTTACATGCAGCTCTTGAGTTTTAAACCCAAATCACCATGGACTCTGTGTCACCCTCATGTCAAAGGCTAAAAGGTATTTTTCACCCAACAGAAAGGGTTTTATTAATTTTTTTGGTAGTATATTACCTGGCTATGCATGAATTATTAGGATAATCATTGGACGATTATTACTGAAAGATTTTGGTGATCACCTAATCCATGGATTTTCAAACTTTTCTTAGCCAAGGAATTCACTTTTCAAACAAAATCAGAGACGTTCCACAGGCAGAACAGAAAAAGACAGGGATGCTCTGGTTGCGTGTGCAGAGGGAGGGGCAGTCTGAGGAGGCTCCTAGAAGCAGAGCTTGGACCTCTCCGCCTCACTTACAGATACACGGCCAAGGGCACGCAGGTGAACCTGGACCTACAAACTGCACCCAGTGCTCTCCACCACACCATGGAGCTGCTATCCACTCCACTTCAACTAAGAGGGTGATTCTCCTGAAGCTTCCCTGCCATTGGTATATGAGGCTGTTATAACAATTTTCACATTATAATCTCATTATCTGCATGCCAGTCGTCCCACTATATTCTAAGCCAGTGATGGTGAGCGAATTTAGAGACCGAGTGCCTAACCGCAACCCAAAACCCACTCATTTATTACAAAGTGCCAATACTGCAATTAAATCTGAATACAATCCTGAGGTTTTAGTTTAGAAAAAAACAATCATTATCTGATGCTTGGATGCTAGGGCAACTTGGCTTGCTGCCGACAGAGAGGGCTCGGCATCCCCGCTGCGACACACATGCCGTAAGTTTGCCACCACTGTTCTAAGCTAATGGATAACAACTCAAATTCTATGGGAACCAGATTAGTAATAGTACTGGATCATAGAGAGTGGCCACAGAAAAAAGGAAAAACCAAATATTCTGCCATTCAAACAAATATACCAACAGACTTTAACTCTTGCATTTTCATTTCCACTCTCTCCCCTCCTCCCACCCGTCTCTTTCCAAACTGTAAGCAGCATGAGGGCAGGAGCTATAGGACTATTTACTCTTGTACATCCAGTTCCTTATACAGTGCCTTAGCACAAAACAGCTTGACTCAATACATATTTGTTGAATAAATGAAATGAATAAGGCTATAGACCAAATCTTTGGCTTTTTCTCCAGCACTTCATGGACTGTATAAACTAAAGAAATTTGAGAGTGAAGCTCAGCCAGTCCCAGTACCCAGAAGGAAGCTCCCCGCCTCCATCCCAGGCTCCTAGGGCAGTGAAGCTCAGCCGGTCCCAGCACCCGGAAGGAAGCTCCCCTGCCACCATCCCAAGCTCCTAGGGCAGAGAAGGTGACCCACATGGGCGCCAGAAGCACCCCCCCCATGGAAATGAGAAGACACATAAACAAGCCTCAAAAACAGACTTCCAGATCACCTATAGCAACCCCAAAGGGAAATGAGATGGAATACTCTGATACTCAACCACCTGGACTCTCTGAACTGGCAACAAAAGAGGATCCGGGAAAAATGAAATCAGAAATAAT